AGGGCCAGGGTTCAACACAGACTGACTAGATGTCACAACAGCAACCCTTGACTGAACAGTGGTTGGTGAGAGTATAGAGGTGTGTGTGTGTGTGTGTGTGTGTGTGTGTGTGTGTAAGAGGGCAGGAAATACATTTGGACAACACAGCGACTGTGCTTTGACAGCTGTGTAGGGAATGTTGGGGTGTGAGCAGGGTGACTGGGAGGATTGACTATTAGGCCCAGAGGCATATGTAGTGCAGGAATGTTTAGGAAGTTGCAGGAGATGTCCACACTTTGACTCTACAAAGGGACACTAGCCTCCCCTGGACAAAGAGGAAGGCCTGCAAACATGCTGGAGATGCTGTGGTCCATCTCCCCTGATCATGTGAGGCCAGGCAAGCCTCTTCACTCTGGGAGGCACACACACCTCATCTGTCAGATGGGGGAGATGCCATCCAGCCTGTAAAGTTGGGGAAATCGAATGGGATGGCATGTCCAGAGACGCTATCTCAGTGCCTGAGGAATAATACTCAGTAAATTACCATATTTAATCAAGTCAGAGAACCAGCCAATAGCAAGAAAGCTATTGCATTTGCCTCAATGGATGCAAAGGACCAGGCTGCCACCAGGCACTAAGGTAAGAGGGAGTGGGGGACACCTGAGGATGAGACAGAGCTGCTGCTTTACAAAATCCCTTTGCAGCCCATCCCTGCCCTTCATCCTCAGACACCGCTCTGACTCCTGTGTGGCTCATCTCCCTCCTGGGTTTGCCACTGCTGACTCCTTAGTTTGTCCACTTTCGCAGGGCGTATCTATCCATCACTTTTTTGGCTGTATTGTCTCAAGAAAGGTTTTTATTTCTTTAAGTCCTCTTTCAATGGCGGTGTTTGCAATGTTCAGGGGAAATGTGTTGTAGTGTGGCTGAGGTGTCATTTTCCTCTATTAGACTGGTGTTCTGGACTGTCTTAGTTAGAGCTGCCATTGCTGTGAAGAAACACCATGACCACAGACACTTTTATAAAGGAAAACACTTAATTTGTGTGGCTTACATTTTCAGAGGTTTAGTTCATGATCATCATGGCAGGACATGGCAGTGTGTTGGCAGGCATGGTGCTGGAGAGGTTGCTGAGAGTTCAACATCTTGTGCAAACAACAGGAAGTGGTCTGAACCACTGGGTGAGGCTTGAGCATATGTGAGCCCGCAAAGCCCACCTCCACAATGACACACTACCTCCAATAAGGCCATACCTGCGCCACACCTCTTAATAGAGCTGCTCCCTTTGGGGATCATTTTCCTTCAAACAACCACACTTTAGCTCTGAGAAGAAAGGCCTGTAGGATGCTGGAAGGAAAGTTCAGTGGCCTCCAGGCTAAACAAGAGGGTTCTCTCTATGGCCTTCCTCATGGGCTCTAAAAAGCACATCCCAGAATTTGAGTGACCTTGGGGAAGGAGAGTTGATCTCAAATAATCAAGGATTAAACTCTAGACTCTGAATTGGACTTTTAGTTAAATAGTATTTCTTCGGGGTTCCCAAGGTTGGGGAGGAATTTATAACACCCCTTCCAGCAAGGATACTCATGGTACACCCCTGAGCTACATCTGTCACAGCACATGCACGTGGGGCCTACTTCCTAGTGCTGCGCTGCAGGCAATTCTGTTGATGTCTTTTCATTTGGCTGCGGAACCTGGCTTGGCAGACTGGCTTTGGAGCTTGGGTTTGGGGGGCTTGGGAGTGTTATCGTTCCTTGATAGGACTTTGTTCCCACCACAGCTGGGACTGTTAACTTGATTTCTTCCCAGCTGCTTCTAGGACTACAGACTTCTTTGCCCGCCTGCCTTTCTTTCTTCCTTTCTAAGATGTATTTATTTATTAATGTATATAATGTTCTGCCTGCATGTATGCCTGTAGGCCAGAAGAGGGTACCAGGATCTCATTATGGATGGTTGTGAGCCTCCATGTGGTTGCTGGGAATTGAACTCAGATCCTCTGGAAGAGCAGCCAGTGTTCTTAACCTCTGTGCCATCTCTCCAGCCCTCTGCAGAGTTCTCATACACAAAGGGCTCTCTCTTTGCTTTCTTTTTCTCCCTTCCTTGCCTTAAACAACTGCCCTTGGACCTTCACTTTGAAGACACGGGAGCTCAGAGATCTCAAGTCCATGTGAGAAAAATGACAGCACAAACAACTTAAAAGGATTTATGTGCCCTGTGTGATTCATTCAGTCTGTGTGTGTGTGTGTGTCACAGTGGCTTCAGCAGAGGCTAAATCTGTGCTCTCCAAGTGTTAATGAGTAGCCAGGTTCTTCTGTACCATACGACCACCAGGGAGGACGCAGCAGTTCTGGTGTTTTTCTCTCCCTGAGTGCCATTTAATCTTCCATTAGTTTCTCATGTATGGATAAATGAAAGGGGCACAATGACGTACCTAAGAGCATTAGTTTACATCAGTGCAGGGAATGTTAACAGCTCAGAACTCTGCAGCACCTCACTTGGTTAGTGGGGGTGGGGAGGGGTTCGGGAGGAGCAGAGACCTTCCCTGCCTCTAGGGTTTCTGGAAAGAGCAGCATTCCCAGGGCCCCACTCTCCTCAGGCTGTGGGGCTAGGGCCCATAATGGTTGTGGAGAAACTGAGAAGGCTGGGAGCCCAGAGATGCTCTAGTGGCCCCTACTCCTCCCTGGCCACCCGGAGAGCCCCAGTGAGCTCATGTCTACAATAACCCCACTACTCATAAATCAGATGGTGAGACAAATCTGGAAGCTAGACACAGGTGAGAAGAGATGGCTGTCTCCTCAGGAATGTGCTGGCCAATTAAGACTCTCTCTCAGATGGCTCAAGAAGACACAGGGACTATTCCCTCAGGCCATGCTGGCCAGCCTCCAAGCTGGGTAGTTATGCCAGGACTTACTAAGGGCCTACTCCATGCTGGGATTCCAGGTGCGAGCTAACATTGCCCCAGGTGTGTGGTCCATCTGCCTAAGCCACACTTTTAGGAGCAGACAAAGAACCTCAGGGTTCTGCTGGTGATGTTCCAGGGTCCCTTTCTTAGCCTGCTAACCTAAGCCCTGCCTCTTCCTGACTGTAGCTTTTTCTCCCCTGTTGTGAAGCAGCCCCAGCCCACAGGGTTCTAGGCTCTTCTTCCTCTCGAGCTGGCAGGTCCAGTTGCTGTGTCTGTTTCTCCCTGCTCCCACCAGAAGGCCCTTACATGGTGTGGACACCAGGTTTTTGTCATGTTAGTACCAGCAGGGTGTCTGGTAGAGGATACACGTGGGGACACCTTTGTGAGCATGGCCCTCTGAGAGGTAATGTTTGTTCTCTTGGTAGAAAACAGGGTTATTCTATTGCTGAATTGCTTACCAGAGGCCTCTTCATGTAGGAAAGCCTAAGCCAGGCAAGGCTCTGACAGGTCTGGGTTCCCCTCTGTTGAAGGGCAGGTGTTCTAAGAGCTGAAGCTGGCAGAGGATAAAACTATGTGGCCTACACCATGTGGCTAAGGCAGTCTGTACATGTTAAAACCAAGTCTTTGGCTGGGCATAATGGCACACACCTTTAATCCCAGCAACAGGGAAGCAGAGGCAGGAGGGCCAGCCTGGTCTACAGAACAAATTCCAGGACAGCCAGGAGTACACAGAGAAACCCTGTCTGGAAAAACAAAATAACAAACGAGACAGAACAGAACAAAACAAACAAACAAAAACCCCAAACCAAAACCAACCATCCAAAAAACCAAGACTTTCCTTTTTATTTGCAAAGTTAGGATTGTGTCCCACAGTGAAGACTTGGAAACAGTACCGGGTATTCTACCAGGGACTAAATTTCCTTTATCCCTCTATCCAGCATTCCTTGTGGCCTCATAGTCACAATACGGCTGCTCTGATCTCTAATATCAAGCTCAAAGTGCAAGTAGAAGTCAGAGCATTACCTGAGTCTCCATCTCCTTTAAGGATGTGTTCTAGAAAAAAAAAAAAAGTACACTCTTACCCCTCATTGGCCAGAACAGTATCACATGACTAATAACTGCAAATGGGAGCTGAGCAATATATCTTTAGTTGAGTGTTTATTTCTCCCAACATCATCAGATTTATTGAAGTAAAAACCACAGAGTTGTGGACAGACATTTCAGGGAAAGACTGAGAACCAGAGGTTGGAAGTAGGGTGCTGGCTCTTTGTGGTGGCCAGCAGTTAGATAATGTCTAGACAGTTACAAGGATCATCCACATTTCCCGCAGTGGCATAAGGAGGTATGGGAGAGAGCGGGTGGCCAGTCTCTCTCCATTCACATGGGTCCCTCATTCATCCAGTTATAGTCTACCAAAATAAGTCTTCTCTTTCTTTCTATGTTTTGGTTTAAAACAGAGTCTCGCTTTACAGGCTGGCCTCAAACTCTGGCCAGGCTAGCCTTGAACTTGTGGCGACCCTGTTGCCTGTCTCTCAATCGCTGAGAATGCTGGCATACACATGGTACTCCCAGCCCCATCTTTAGCCCTCCTCACTTGTTTTACTTGCATCTGTGGCACTTTAGCTTAAGGGGGTCTCTCTGGAACTCTTTATGTCCATCACATCTTTTTTGTGGGTGGTAGTCTTGAAATAGGACCAGCTTGCAAATCTGAGCTTTGGGCTTCATTCCCGTGGCTAGCTAGCAGGAAGGGGTGGAAGCTTCCCCCAGTCAGGTCTGGGACTCCTGTCAAAGTGGGTCTCCGTAAGCTCTCAGGCATTCAGATCCTATGCTGGGACCGAGACCGGGACCTAGGGCAGGATGTGGGTGTTGGATTTCTTTACACTCCGAGTCCCTGTGCTATGGGAATGGCTTTGGCCACAGGTCCCGCCGTTTTCCTGCACAAAAGCACTGGGATCTGAAAGCTCTAGTGAACCTTTCCTAGCGTTTCTTGGGCTCAGAGGTGCATTTCTCTCTCCCGGTGAGCGTCTCCACTGCTCTCTGCCGCTCTCTACCGGCGGCTAGGTGCACTGCAGCTGCGCGGCGGGAGGGAGGCACCAGAGCTCAGAGCTCAGAGCGCAGGCGCAGGCGCACGCGTTCGCCTGCGTCCTCCGGCCCGCTTGCGATTGTGCGCGTGCGCACGGGAGAGGCGTGAGGACGAGTCGCTGGAGCGCGCAGGTGGAGGGAGGAGTGGTCCCGAGAGTAACTGCCCGGAGTGAGTTGGTGCGCCACAGGTCCGGGGGCGCCCGTCCCCTCGGCGTAGGAGACCTGACTGCGCTCGGAAAGTGGCTTTTGGCGGGGGCGTGACCTGAGCTCGCCCTCACAGCAGGGCGTGGAGGAGGAGAGGGATCGCTCAGGCCTTTTACTGATTTGGTGCCTCCAGGTTGTCGCTCGGGGCTGCCGCCTGTTTGCCTTTCAGAGTTTGCAAACAGTAGGGAGGAAGAGGCGAGGCGAGGCTAGACCACAGGGGGCTGGGGTTTTCCAGGCAGTGAGAGGCTGCCTGACCCAGCGATGCCTAGCTACCTGGCGGTGGGAGGTGGACGACACGGGACACGTTGCAAAATGGGGCCCCAGTAGGAATTTTGCCGGTGTTGGGCACACAGGCCCACACTTAGGATAGCAACTTGTCACTTAGTATTTTACATTTCTTGTAGAAGTGATTTTTTTTCTCCTATAGTGGCCCGATACAGACACTAACACGCTCGCATTCCTCCCACCCCATGTAGGAGATGACACATGGGGTCTCAGCATTCCTCCAATGCCCGCACATTTTGTCAGCGGAAGAAGGATGACAACCTGGAGGACTTACAGGCTGAGAGAGAGCAGGAGGAAGCCATCGCTCAGTTCCCCTATGTGGAATTCACTGGGAGAAATAGTATCACTTGTCACACCTGCCAAGGAGCGGGCTACGTCCCAGCAGGTGAGACCTGTCAGCCATCATGGAAAGTGCTAGCATCTGTTCCAGCCAGCCCTCCCTCTATAGTCATAGACTGCCCTGAATTGTAGCCAGCTCAGCCGACCTGATAACCTTGGCAGATTGTAGGCTTCTCTTGATCATATATTTGGACCCATTTCCATTTTTTTTCACTTCTATAAGGATTCAGGTATTATTATGCTGGCCTGCCGCTATCACCTGGCAGCATGCACCCAGGCAGTACCCTGGTCAGCTCAGGGTTCCATGGAGTTTTCACGCAAGTGCAGAGGACCCATTTAAAAGAAAGATCCCGCCCACTTAACGGCCTTTTTTGCCTGCTCATCTCTTTTCTGCTCTCCTCTCTTTCCTGTTGTTCCCTTGGGGCAGACCGCCCTGTCTCCCTCTTCTTTCCCGTTCTCTCTCTGCCTCTTTACCTCTTTTACCTTCCCCCTTCCATCTCTGTTCCCGGTTGGCCAACACCTACCCCTCCTTTTGCTCCCTTTCCCAATAAACTCCGCATGGGTTTGTTGAGTCTTGTGGTTCGTGTTTCATCTCCCGAAGCTACAGCAAACAGCAACAACTTCTACTCTATTACTTTCTTAGTTTCTTTTCTGGTCGCCCTGATAAATTGCTCTGGCCGAGGCAGTTTAGGAAATAAAGGTTTTTGTCTGCTTCGCAGCTCCGGGTCCTAGCTCATCACGGGGTAGGGTGGGGAGGGGGGGGGGCGGTTGTCAGGATGGTGGAATTTAAGATTGCCTGTCACACTGTCGTCATCGGAAGTAAGGAATGTTTGTACTCACTTCCCTCCTCCCTTTTCATGCAGCGGAAGACCCAGCCTATGAAATGTGTCTTCGACTTGACTTACCCCAGTTAGGAAAATCACTTACAGACATGCCTGCTGACCAGCCTAATCTAATCTAGACAGTGCCCCATTGAGACTTCCCAGGTTCCTGACAGTAATCGTCACTATCGTGAAGGCCCCTTTATGGTTTCCAACATTTATTTCTCTGCTGCAGGATTTGTTGACAAGGCTGTTTCTCTGATGGTGACTCAGTATCCTGAGGTTAACAGAATACCAGGGGTGGGGAGAGGCTGAACAGGCAGGCTCAAGAATGGAGACTGGATTATCTCTAGGGATATCTGTTTCTAAATTGGCCCTGGGGAAGGGGGTCCCAAAGACCTTGGAAGCCATGTACTCCAGAGCTGCAAATGAAAAGTGAAGAGACAGTGGCTTTAAGAAGTTCTGTGGCTTTGCCAGAGACAGTAAGGCCAGACAACACTCATAGAAGTCTTATAATTTGTGCCATTCTCTATAGGTTTATATTTATTTTTTCCCAGCTTTCTTTTCTTTGTCCTTTCTAGTTCTACATTTACTTGTTTCTTGTTCATTTGGTCAAAAATGTACTCTTTAGTGTCTGGTCCCAGATGAATCTTTGCTTTGGCAGTTTGCATCGAAATGTGAACAGAAGGGCTACCAATATGTGGGATTTACACAGTGAGTCTTTGCTGCTTTTCTAGAGCAACTCAGGGAGTTGGTGGCTTTGATCCCCCACAGTGACCAGAGGCTGCGCCCCCAGAGAACGTGAGTTGGCCTGCTCTCATCTCCTAACGCCTGTTTCTGGCCCTGCCTCTTTTTTATGAAGGACTACCAGTTAACCATCTGAAAACGATGTCTGCCCTTGTATCTGCCTCATTTCCTTTTTCTTTCTGCCATTCCTACTGGTAATGCTGGGGCATGAATCCTGACTCTCTTGCATGCTGGACTCCTTCCCCTCACTACAGTCTAGCTCTCACCATTTCCTTTGGTACTTCTGCTTACGTGAAATACCCCTGAACTGTTGCAGTCTGGGAAAAGGAATGTGCAGTTGGGATATGTTGAGGGTCAAATGGAAGGGTGGATTGGAAGGCATGGAAGCAGCAGGGTGTCCTGGAGACGAGCAGGTGTTCTGGGAAATAAAGGGATCAGTTTCTCTTCTCATGGTAAATGGCGCTCAAGTGCTCTCTTCCTTCTTGCTTGGTTTGTGGTTCTGGGTTCTTTGTGCTTCGCCCCCACCCCCTCTGTTTTGCACTGATTTTATGACAGTTTAGACTTTGATGTCTGCCTGTCCATCGGTCACCCTGTGCTGTCATTTACAGTAAACAGTATGTCCTCCTGTCGGTCCTGCTTTGTCTCCTGGCATCTGGCTTGGTGTTTTTCTTCCTGTTTCCACATTCAGTCATCGTGGATGATAATGGCATCAAAGTGGTGAAAGTCACCGTTAACAAACAGGACTCCCTTGTAACGCTTGATGTCATGGTAAGACTTAGGGCCTCACTTCCCAGGCTGTGCACTTGCCAGCCTTGGGACTGGGACATTTAACACTCATTTACTCCCTTGCCCTTTCCAGGCCACCCTGAAAATCAGAAACTCCAACTTCTATCCTGTGGCAGTGACCAACCTGTTCAGCCAGGTTCAGTACATGAAAGCCGTGGTTGGCACACACGTGAGCACTAATGTGTCACTCATCCCCCCTCGGAGTGAGCATCTGGTATGTGGCTTTTGAAGGGCCTCTGCCCACATACCAAGGGGAGGGGCAGGTGCTGTGGGGATCCGTTCCTTTCCTCTCCGCTCACTTCCACCCGAGGAAGACCTGATGGGCTCTGTAATTAAGAACAACAGAAACAGGCAGACACAGCTAGCATTTAAGACCTTGGGCAGTAAAATCATTGATAAGAGATATAGTCACCAAATCAAGAGTAGGTGGAGTCACAGCCAGAATCCAGAGGCTTCTAAAGGGAAGGGGTGGGGAGTGCTTACTCCAGGCCCCTAGGCTGTCTAAGGAAGATGCTTTGTACATGATGGGAGAATGATACAGAGGCTGTGGGTTGATAGCAACAATGCTGTTAAGTCAAGCTTGCTTATCACAGGCTGATGCCCCGTCTTGTTTTATTTTCAGGTGAATTTTACTGTGAAGGCTGAGGTGGGAGGACCATCTTCCTACGTGTAGTAAGGACAGAGTTCTTTGTACTGTGTTGTCTGCCTGTAAAGATTCAGAGTCATCCTCCATTGTCTGTGTCCCTGGCTCTGCCTTAAGCCCCAGATGTGGTCTGGGGACTCGGGAGCTTTGGCTTCCTGGGGGAGGAGTTATCACTTGATATATGACTGAAGTGCTGAGATTTCTAAAGAGATAAACTACACGAAACATTAGCAAACTCTAGCATTTAAATACATGATGGCTTTGAGAAACAAGGAGCGTGATTTGGAACATTGAGAATGACACTTTGAGGGTCTCAGAACCAGTGGTCCTTGGCAGTGCTTCGGTTCAAAGTGGGGGGACCGGGGAAGAGAAGGTACCCCAAATAGTTTGGCAGCGTCCTGCCAGTTCTCTTGGGAGATTGTGTTCTTGTTTTACTGTCTTCAACCAAGTGACTGTGTCTGTATTTATGGTCCACAGCTTCATCTGCACGGTACCTTCCATCCTGGTACACAACATTGTGATCTTCATGAGGTACGTCTTCTGTCCTCTCTCCTGCTGGCTGCACACCGAGCCTGGGCCACCTGGGAGCTTCCCACACTCACTAGAGGCGGGTGGCTAAAAAGAGACCCGTCACCTGCCTCGCAGCTCAGACCCAGCAGCCTCTTGGTTTTCTCCAGAGGTGGAGCATAGTTTGCCAGGTTCCTGGTGCAATAGGGAAGCATAATATTCTGTGGGCTGGGGAGACAGCTCAGCAGTTACGAGCTCTGGCTACTCTTCCAGAGGACCCAGGCTTGATTCCCAGGGTCCATATGGTGGCTCACAACTATGACTCCAGTTTTGGGGGATCTGATACGTTCTTCTGGCCTCTTGTGATTACCACACATGTAGAGCACAGACACATGTGTAGGCATAACACCTGTACACATAAAATAAGCAGTTTTTTTTAAAAACTAAAAGAAATGTTCTGCCAGTAATGGGGTCCAGTTTAACTAAACATGTGACCCCATCAGAAGCCTTGAGAGTGAAGAGCAGAGCAGCTCTCTCAAGGTGTGAGTACTAAGAGTTTCCAGTTTACCCTTCCGTGCCAGAGTTCCTAGTCTTGGAACTGTGGCTATTAAATGTAAAGATGACTGACTCCAGTTGAACAAACATTTGAAATCTGAGGGTCTGAGTGAGGCTGCTCAGCTTTGGCACAGTTGACATTTGGGGTCAGTGAGTTTTGTCACTAGTGACCACACTGTGCATGCTTAGCAATAGCATCCCTTGTTCCTACTTGCTGCTGGGAGTGCTTATCACCCTCTGCCCAACTCAGTTGTAACTAACCCAAAGATACCCAGATGTTGCCAAAAGCTCCCATGGGGTAAAATCATGCGGTTAATAACCACTGACCCAGAAGGTCACCTTGTGACACAGCATTTTTGGACATAGGTCCACTGGCCTCCTAGTTACATAACCATGAAGCTAGGTGCCTGGGACCCAGATGAATATTAGCCCTCACCTGGGAAGAAGAAAGAAGTTTTTCCTGTTTGTTTAGTCTCTTCATGGTCTTGTTTTTGCTAGGACTTCTGTGAAGATTTCATACATTGGCCACATGTCCCAGAGCACCGTGGAGACACAGCACTATGTGGATTGTGGGGCGAATTCCACAGCTGTTTAGAGCCTGCTCTTAGTTCTCCGGTGGCTCCACCTGCAGAAGGAAGCTGACTTCCGCACTCACAGGAGAGCCATCTTTGCAGCGCCTTGTGTTTTTCTTGGAACCAGCAAAACCACTGCCCAGTGCCTAGTCTGTGCCTAGCAAATAGTTAGCACTCAATTACAGTTTGAAGAATTGAATTCAGACATTTTGGCTGTTGTTGAGATGAAACCAGGGGTCTAGCTTTTCAGACCAGGGTGACATGGAGGTAGGATGTTGGTGGAGCTGCAGATGTATGGGTGCTACAGTCCTGCGCTCAGAAGCACCAGCAGGAGAGTCGTGCAGAGGACCTTCAAGGAGCCCCTCAGTGGCTGCATTTGTTCCCTAATGCCCAGGGGCTTTGCAGAAAGGTGGTTTTTTTTTCCTTTCCCTTACAAAGTTATTGCCTCCCCCCCCCACAGTCTACTGCAGGGCTTGATGTACCTTTGATCCACTGGCTGGACACAGATTGGGGGTTTGATAGAAAAATAAACTGCTTTTTTGGATTGATCTGCACTGTCTCTGATTGTCTGTGTGCCTTTTCAGGCACCCATGAAAGGAACTTGGAAGAGTTGCTTCCTAAGGGGGACCCCACAGGGTGTGCTGAGGGAAGAAAAGAGAAGGTACCCACCTCAACTGTGTGTCTTCCTTGCCCCAGGAGCAGCCTCACAGTTCCCAGTATAGAGTGGTGGGGCTGCACTTCCAGAGCAGAGCACACAGCGCCCTCTGGAGGTTGGAAATGGCAGGCAGCGATGCCTGAGGAATGAAGCTGTTTCCTTAGCGACAACTGCAAACGACTGACTGCCGGATTCTTCAGGCCTAATATGAAGATGTGGTTTGAGGTTGGAGGTTTCTCCACATAGTTCTGGACTCTAACCACCTAGACAGCCTCTGGCAGGAAGTGACTAGGCCCAGAACTCAGCTGAGGTGGGTTCTTGCCGCCCGCTGCACCACAGCAGATGACCATGGGGCTTAGTACTAGGTTTTACCCCATTCTCTTGGCTTCTTTTTCAATATTTGCCTAATTACCTTCACCCTTTGAACCTGCAAACTATGATAACTAGTTTGCTGATAATAGCCTTGATTTAGTTCACAAATACAGGGTTTAGCACTGTAATTGAGCTGATTAGGTTGCCGGCATGTCCAGGTAAAAAGCAAGCACATTGTTTTAAAAACCAATGCCCTGAAAAGTATGCCCAATGTACAAGAAAAGGTCCACACTATGATTTCTTCAGTTTGTCCATTTCCCTTTCTAGATTGTGTGTGTGTGTGTGTCCTCGTGTGCCTGTCTGTCTCTGTGTCTGTCTTTCTGTCCATCCATGTCTGCTTGCCTGCCTGCACATGTGTAGCCAGAGGATGTAAAGTGTCTTCCTAGTTGCTTTCTATCTTACTCTTTTTTTTGCAGCAGGGTTCCTTACTGGATCAGTTGTCTAGACTGCATGGCCAGAAAGTACCAGATCTCCACCTGTCTCTACCTGGTGCTGGGTTGTAGGTGAACACCACCATGCCCAATTTTTACATGATTGATGGGTACCTGAACTCAGGTTCTCATGCTTCTGTGTTTACTAACTGAGCCATCTACCCACCCCTTACTTTGTTTTTTGCTTGTTTACTTTTTAAAAACGCCTCTGAAACATTTGCTATACAGTTTTGAAAAGGCTACTTGATGTTACTGAAAAACCCAGTTAATATCAAATAAGAGCATTTGAAGCTTTTAAACATGCACAGTTGATTGTGGTCTCCTAATGCTGCTAATTCTCACATCTGCTCATATTCTTAGCATCCTGAACTTCACATTGGGATGCCTTGCATGGTTTAGCATGCTGTCTGTCAATTGTGCGTGTGCATGCCCATACATGTGTGTTCATGCATGTGGATGCCAGAGGTTAACCTCAGGTGTTCCTTGTTTTTTTTTTTTTTTTTTTTTTTTTGAGGCATGGTCTCATAGTGTTCATGAAGTGGGACAGGCTGGGTGTCCAGTGACTTCTGGATCTGCCTGTCTCCTCCAGTACCATTGTACCAGGTTTTGTTTGTCGAGACAGGGTTTCTCTGTATTGCTTTGGAACCTGTCCTGGAACCTGTAGACCAGGCTGACCTGAAACTCACAGAGATCCACCTGCCTCTGCCTCCCGAGTGCTGGGACTAAAGGTGTGTGCCACCAATACTGGGCTCATTTTTTATTTGATGTGTATGAATATTTTGTCTTCCACATGTATGCAGTGCCCTGGAGAGTCCCGTCTGATTAGCATTACATATGATTTTTAGCTGCCATGTGGATATTGGGACTTGAACCTCCAGCCTGGTAAGGTTTTTAAATGTGGGTTCTGAGGGTTGAAGTCGTAACCCTTGTAGGCCAAGTGCCTTACCTCCGGTTACTCAGCCCGGCCTTCACTGCCTTCTTCCTTGACTTCACACTGCTGATGAAGACATCTGATTGAGGACACACTACATACAGAAATCTCCATTTAGTTACATATCTATACATTCTCCCACAGATAGGAATGTCACAAGCCACTTAATGCTCACCAAGCCCCATATAGGCCACGGTTTATTTCCAGGAGTTATTCTGCTGTTCTAGTTACTTCACCATAGGACCTTTAATATCTCTGTCAACTATCTTGGGGATCTGAGCTCAAAGTATGTAACAGATCATTACAAGATCTGCTGTTAAGAGTTTTGCAAAAATCAAGCCACAGATTGTTTCCCCAGGACAGACTAATCTTTCTTTTCCTTTCTAAATGAAATTCATTACTTTGAAGATAGTGTGTTCCTTTGGTTATTTAGTGGGGAAACTCTTTGAGGAAGTGTCAGGAATTGTCTTTCTGAAGTGAGCAACAGAGGAACTTGAACATAAATCTTACCTGGAGGTTGGATGGCTGGCTCCTACTCCAAAGTCTTTTAATGGCAGATGCTCCCAGAGAAAAGAATAGAAAGTTGGGAAAATAACCCGATAGAGCCCTGGTGATTAGCAGATCACCCTGCTCAGCCCTGCTGGCTCAGGAATTTACTCAATGCATTATTCTGTCTGGAGAGACTGTATCAGGGATCCAGGACTTGATAATAATCCTATGTTCACCTTCTGCCCTGGAGCAGGTTGGGGTGCAGACCAAGATGCCAAGCAGTGTATTATCACTGACCTGTGATCCTCACTCTGCTCCCCACCTAGTCCGTCTGGCTGCTTCTCTTCCATTCCCTGGGGAGCAGATACATTTATGTCTTGGTTTTCCTGGGTAGGAAGCAGGTAGGTTACAAGGAATGATGCAGGAACCATGGCTTCCCATAGAGCTTTAGGCCATCCTTCAGGGTCTGCTGGACATTTTATTCAGAGTGGTCACTATTGAAGGTAGTAGAATGAGTCAGGAAGTTCTCAAGTTAGAGCAGCTCTTCAGCGCCACCTGCTGTCAGAGACAAGTTTCACGTGTGCCCACGTAGTGGGCGGGCCTCCCTCTTGCCAACCATCACTAGCTCTCCAGTGATAGGTGTTAATTATTTTTCCCTGTGAAGCAGTCTAATTATGTGGGAGTGAGTGTATAGCATTGGGACTCAAACCCAGGCATTATGCTAGGGAAGTACTCTACCACTGAACTACACTCGCGGCACTAATCGAGTTTTAAACATCACATTGCCATTTTGCTTTCTTGGTTGCCGTGAACTAGCCAAGGCACTAGCACTTCATTCAATTACTTTTACGTAACAAGTTGAATATTAATGCAAACACTTCCCCCCAAATTCTCTTATTCATTTTCCTTATTTCTCTAAAAGAAAAGCTGCCAACTTCAAAGAAAGGGAGCAAGATGGGTAAAAGGGGCAGAGAACAGTATGGCTGTCATGTTTACGAGATGGTTTGACATTTGTTTCACAGAAATCTTCTGTCCTGGACTTTATCTCCTGTCCACTTCACACATCACCTCCATCATGACCCTCTAATGGAGAAGGGATGCTTGTTCTTGCCACACATGCCCAAGGCATTGGAGAGCAAAAGATGTCTGGCCATAGGGGAAGGGAGGCTTTCTATTCCTAGTCTGGAATTCAGAGAAGGTCTAGGGAGTGGAGAATGGGGACAGGGCGAGGGGGTGGGGGGGGCGGTGACAGAACTGTACTTTCTGATCTCCTTGCCCCAGAATGTTATAGAAAGATGTAAATAAACATCCAGATGGCTTGCATCAGTGGCCCCTGGGGGATTAGCTCTCCTGCCCACTGTTCCCCATTTTCCACCCCACTTTCCCCCACCTCCCATCTCCCCCACCCAGCAGGAAGCAACCATGTACTCTAAGATCTCCATGTGCCACGCCTTTTCTCCAGCTTGCTGGAGAGCAATGCTCCATGTTTACTCTCCCGAACTTCCCAAATAATGGATCTAAAGTTTGAGTATAGTGTCCCTCAAAGGCGTGTGTGCTGAATTTCAGCCCCTCGGGTGATGCTCTTAGGTAGTGGAGCCTTGAGAAGCAGGGCCTAGTGGAGGTCCTTGGGTCACTGGGGGCAGACTCAAAGGGCCCCATGGGACCTCAGTTTCTTCCTCTCACTCTGCTTCCTGGATTGAGGCATAAGCAATGGCTTTGATTGTGTTCCTGATATGACAGGCTGTCTTCACCAAAGGTCCAAATCAATACGACTACCTAATTTTGTAAACAAACCCAACAAAAGACTCATTTTCTAATCCTACTTTGTATTGTTATCATTTTGAACCTCAAGACTGTGAACCAAAGTGAACCTTGTCAAGTGTTTTGTTTCAATAGCACGAAGCTACCTGATTCAATTTCATCTCAGGTCTCAGGTCACCACTGGATTCTCCAAAGTTTATAGAAGAGGCAATATGGCAACCCCATCCTGGATCGAAAGGTTAGCAGAAAGTTCTGGGACCATATTTGGTATGCCTACAGGATCAAGGGTTAATAGAAATAAATAGAACAAAACACAAATCGAGATGTTCTTTCCAATAATTTTTTGGTTTTTAATATCAATTGATGTTTTTAAAAATACAGAGGTGTTTGACACAGAATAGCACCATTGTGTAGGACACACAGTTCCTGTGCCCAGCACCTGTGGGGGTCTTCTGGCTGGGCTGGGGGCAGCCACTCAGGGGGCATTTGACTCACACCAGTTAGTTCCCTGCCTCTGCCTTGACCCAAAGGTCTTGCAGGAAGACAATAAATAAATAGAACACCGAGATTTTATTTTGCAGTCTGCCAGTTCAGGTCTCTCAGAAAGGGAAAAATAGTCCAAACTGTGAGGGTCGATGAATGGACGTCAGGTCAGGTTAGCCATTCAGTGCAGATCCTGGAGTGACTGGGGTTGGAAAATACTTGGGTCCTTTGGGTTGGCAATGGATTGTATTGTTTTTGGATTCAGGGTTTTACAAGAAGCAGACAGGCCCTATGTCCACACCAAATTCCTGTTCAGGCCCTCCAATGTCCATGGGTGCAATATCAATGATGGGGAGGCGTGAGGTCTTCTGTGACCGGTACTCGATGACAGTCTTGCCCCACTTACCGGTGTGTTTCTAGGGAGGAAAGGGGGAGGGGAGGTGTTATTCAGCAATGTCTTACAAGGGTCAGTACCCAGTGCCCCCAAACCATGCAACCACAAAGTGTGAAGTACACTTTTTCTTGATTGCCCAAGCCCTCTCCAAGTCTTTCCTTGGTGGCAGAGCCCTCCCCTGCCTTCTTGTCCCGCCCCTTCCCCATCGTCACGAAGGGCTTTCCACCTGTGATGCCCTCTTCCCTCTGGTAGGTAGGCATACACTTTATGAATACTTGGGCAAGAGTCACCCTGAGCATGCCAGAGTCTTCATCCCCTGAGACAGGAGGTGGACAAGCTGATAAAATATATACCTCTCCCTCCTCTGCCACTCAGCTTTTGACTCAGGCCTCTGATGATCCTGTCACTCCAGGAACAGGATAACCCCACTCACCGTGCAGCCGTCCTTCAGGGCAGTGTATGTGAACCTGCTGTTGCCCTCAGCCCTCATCTCCACGTCATTAGAGCCTTGGATGAGCAAGGCCTTTTTGAGGTTGCCGGCTGCTTCATCCAGGTAGGCAATGCTGTTCTTGCAGTGGTAAGTGATGTTCTGGGAGCCCTCGGTGGACAGTAGACGCAGGAAAGTCATCTGGACGTTAGCAGTGTTGGGAGCCAGGTGGCCATCGCCATAGCTGAACTGTAGTAGGCAGAGGAGTCAGGCAGAGTATGAGACCCGAGGGCTACTGTGGTTCCATGCTATAATGGTTCGCACTCTGGATTCTGAAAATCCAGCTGTTAGGGGCTCAGAGCGTCTGCCGGGTGCTAGGCTGGCTTGGAGGACTCTAGGGAGTGGGGGAAATACTTTTTCCTCTCTCCTCTAGAGCCCAAAGGAAAACTGGTGGAAAGTGTGGGGAAGGCGCTAGCTAGCATGCGAGGAGAAAGCCGTGTGCGTGTGGGGCCAGCCGGGTGGAGAGCGCGGGCACTCACGTGGAAGCCGCCGCTCATGGTCTCTCCAAACCAGATGTGCTTCTTCTCCTTGCCCTTGCTGCTCCACCAGTTCTTCTTCGGCACAGTTGCTGGGTTGGGGTAGACGCAAGTCTCGCCTGTCTCCATGTTGCAGAAAACTTTCATAGCATCCAAGGTACATCCTTGGTTGGGGTCGATCCAGTAGTCTCCTGCAGAAGAGGTGGCATCCGATCAGGCTCACACTCAAACCTTGGCAGAGAGCCTACTGGGAGACCAGGTCAGGGGAGGCTGATGCGGGGTACAAAGGGGGCCAGAGAGAAAGCCCCAGGGATAAAGAAATCTGTGGGGAGGCCAGGAAACACTTCTGTCCAGAACCTTCCAGGACTGATCCTGCCCCACACTAAGGTACAGTGGGCTGTGTCTGCCTGGCTACTGAAGGTAGCCATACTGGTGGGCTGACTCCCTTCCCTCTAGGGGCAGGGGCCTGTCCTCCAGGCTCACCACTCTTCCACTCTGGGTGGCAGAGTTTCAGGTCTTGGCAGGTGCGAGCAGGATTCTTGCGGGAGCCATCGGGGCTTCGGATGCTCTCAATCTGGTTATTGAGTGACTTGAGTGTGGCATCCACCTCAACATCATGCTGCCTCAGGGAACTGGCTGCCTCATCGGCACGCATGTACTGCAGGGGATCAGGGCCCTTCTCTCTCTGGCCTAAGCCGGCAAAGGCTGACATGTCAATGCCAGGACCAGGAGGGCCTGGAGGGCCAGGGGGACCAGGATTTCCAGGAGGACCCTGCAACAGGAAATAAAGATGTCAGCCAGGAACCATGGGGAAGAGGTCCTCCTCTGTGTCCACTATTGTGTCCTCTTCCTGACCAAGAAAACCACAGCAGCTTTCCCATTTCCTCCCTGGCCTTTTTTTCTAAGTCCCAGAATCCATCATGAGCCCTGTGACCCTCTACAGAGCCCTCAGCCTCTAGGATGCCATCACCACTAGCAGGGAGGGGTCAGGGCACTTACAGCAGGGCCAGTTTCTCCTGAACGTCCACGGGGACCAGGAGGTCCAATGGGGCCAGGGATTCCATTAGAGCCATCTTTGCCAGAGGGACCAACGGGGCCAGGTGGACCCTGTAGGCCAAGAGAGAGGAGATAGTGAGAAAACAGCGTCCATCCCAGGGGCAGCCGCAGGGCAGCCGCAGCGCAGCCGCAGGGCAGCCACAGCTATATAGGTGGCCATTGTGATGGCCTTGGTCATACCCTCTGCCTCTAGTTCTCTGAAATCTTGGCCACGCAAACTAAATCCATCTCCATTTAGCCAAGAACCAGCAGACGTCTCCACGCCTCTGTAAGCCTCCTAAGTCACTTGTAGAACATCTTTGTATCAGGTCTGTCTTTCAGTCACTGTGACCTCAGGTGCTTATGTCCATGGTCATTGTAAGAAAGTCCTACTTTTCTCAGGGAGCCTCCTGAGTGAGGACTGCTAAGCCCAAGGCTCCCCACAGAAGTACTGCCCACCCTTCTCCATCCCCTGGCCAAGGCCTTGGCCCAACCAGCAGAAAGGCCACTCCCTACCCTAGAACTATCTCACTTACTCTCGGGCCAGAGGGACCAGCTGGGCCAGAAGCACCTTGATCTCCAGAGGGACCCTGTGGAAAAAAAGAAAATAGTCGATATCAACACAACTGGATATAGAAAGCTGTCTCCTTCAGAGTGGGAAGCAAGTACGTGCCCCTCCCCCCTTTCCTCCTCCACTTTCACATGAGAGAACCCAGGGGCTTCTGAGGAAGACCCCAAGCCTTTTTTTTAGCAGCAAGGGAATCTCAGAGGGTCTGAAAAATGGGAGGCCTTGGACAATGATGTGCAGTGACACCCACCGGAGGGCCAGGCAGACCCTGCAGTCCAGTGAAGCCTCGGTGTCCCTTCACTCCCCTCTCGCCAGGCTCTCCAGATTCTCCTTTGTCACCTCGGGGGCCTTGAGGGCCCTATGAACAAGAAAAACATCAATTCAGTCAAGTCTGGGCTCATACGCCTCACCAGAGACCTGGTGTCTCGTCTCTGCAGGGGACTCGGGACAAGATGCTCCGATACTTACTGGGATTCCACGGGCTCCAGCGGGGCCTGAGGGGCCCATAGGTCCTTGTGCACCCTGTGAGGGGAGAGCACAAACAGCGTCAGGGAAAGGACAGGACATGAAAGCTCTTTTCCACACCTTCCTAGGGGTGGGGCAAACCGGACACACCCCCAGCCACCTGATCACCCTCCTCACCACAGCATCTCTGAACACAGGATACTCACAGACTCTCCTCTGTCTCCTTGTTTGCCAGTTGGACCAGCAGGGCCAGGAGCTCCTGGGGGCCCGGGAGCTCCAGGAGCACCCAGTGCGCCAGTCTCACCGCGATCACCCTGCAGGAACAAGGTAACAGGTTCAGCAAAGAATGCTCAGAAGAGGTGAGGCGAGGTCCTTTACTGCTCAGACTGGCGTGTTAGGCCCTGCACCCCAACCCCCACCCCAGACACCTGCCACTCACCTTGACTCCAGCTGCACCATCTCTGCCTGGGGGTCCATCAGCACCGGGGCTGCCCTGGACAAGGGACATTAGAATTCACTTAGATCTGCCCCCTTTGCTCTCTCAGTCTGAAGCCTAGGCCTGGTCACTTCTGCTCGGCTACGGCTTTGGGGCTCACACACCCCGTGTGAGCTTCCACCTCCCCTTTCCTTGTACACGCAGTCCTGGTCTGTGTGTGTGTGTCTTCCCTCCAGACCCTCCCACCACACCAAGCTCTTGGGCTCACCTCTCTTCCAGGTTCACCTGCAGGACCTGTCAGGCCAGGAGGCCCCACGGGGCCAGGAGGCCCTCTGTCTCCAGATGCACCAGGTGCACCCTGCTTTCCGGGCTCACCCTGAAAGGATATAGACAATGACCATGAGTGTACATGCTAAGCATCCCCGCCAGGACTCCACCCCCCCCTTCGGGGGTACAGCTGACAAAGGGATGCCTCTAAAGATGACTCGAAGGAAGACTTAGGGTACCACTGAGGCCAGAACACTTAGTTAGGGGCTTTGGGACTGAGCCAGTCCTGGCCTAGCAGGGCTGAAAGAAAAAGCATCCTTCACTCACCGATGGGCCAGGAAGGCCAGGGAATCCTCTCTCACCACGCTGTCCAGGCAGACCAACGATGCCCCTTTGACCAGCCAGCCCCTGGGGACCTGGAGGACCATCAGAACCCTAGGAGAAGAAGAAGGAACTGATGTGGAGGCTGGCCCTGGCCCTGGCCCTTCCCACCCAGAGTGCACTCCGTGCAGCTCCCTTCCCACAGCTCTCTCTTGGGCCTGGTAGGGTACTTACAGGGGGACCATCATCTCCAGGTTCTCCTTTCTCGCCAGAAGGTCCTGCAGGGCCTTGAAGTCCAGGGTCACCAGCTCGGCCGGGGGAACCAGTATCTCCTCGAGCACCTTTGGGGCCATCTTTTCCAGAAGGACCAGGGGGACCAGGGGGTCCAGGGTTGCCCTAGGAGGAACAAATATGGAAAGGGGTAACTTGGTATCCTCCTCATCCAAGCTACTGAGTAGCCTCGGGGGCAAGGCATTCCGAACTGCCCTTGTGCTCTCCTCTTCCTGGTGAGAGCTCTGGGCAGCCGGCTGTGGCTCCACCACCCTGCTCGGCCTCTCCCCACCCATGTGGGACTTTTCCTGCTGGATTGTCTTCACCCTCTATAACGGGTTCCTCCAGAAACAGCTGACATTGCCCTCTGACCTGAGCCTTCTGTCCGCCCAGCACTGAAGTGCCCCCACCCCCCAATATCTGGTCTGGGGCTCGTGGGCTTCCTTACAGAGTGTGGATCCTGGTGAATTGAGCATGCTTAGGAAACATGAAGGATACCAGCATACCAGCCCTTCCAACACAGAGTGTTAGGGTGAGTCTAAGCCAGCCTGGAAGGCTGAGTGCTCCCCCTCATTGGTCAGTGGCCAGTCAGCTGTTCCTCCCATTGGTAGGAATGGAGAAGAGGGCTCGGGGCTATAGGCCTTTGACCCCTCTGTTTGGTGGACTGCTCAAGACGGTTCTGACCCTAGCCAAGTCTCCTATGCCAGGAGTAAGGTAGGTCTAAACCAGGAACAACACGTACATTAGAGCCTGGGGGTCCAACTCGGCCAGCAGCTCCAGGAAATCCAGTGGCTCCCTGTGGACATGGAGGGGTGGAGAAGTCTCTGAGTACTTCAGGTTCTCACAAGGAGAAGGACACATTGGTAGGTATAGAGAGAATGTCTCAGAGTTGGGGAGTCAAGGGTCAGGGGCTACAAAGCAGCAAGGGAAGGGCCCACTGCACATGGCCACATAATCAGGCCTGAGCAGGGACCATCCAGCCTTCAGGGAGCTGAGTGGCCAAGCTGAGGTGACCGTGCACACAGCAGAGGGAGGCCCCCTCTCTCCTGTTAGGCTGCAGGGTGGGCTTAGGTTGGGCCTGGTTAGGGCTGGGGAGGGAGGAGACAGAGAATCTAGGAGCCAACCCACTGCAGAAATCATAGGCCTGAACTCTTGCAGGGAATTCACTCACCGGGGGGCCTTGGGCACCTCGGGCTCCCTTAGGACCAGTCACTCCAGTAGGACCCTGGGAAGGAGAGATGACAATGAAGTCTGGTGGGCCTGGGGGAGCCTTTTCTGACCCTTAATACAGGACTCTGGAGGGTCAGGCTGTCAGAGTCCAGCTTCTCCACTAGGACCCCATCTACAAAGGCTGTCACAGGCAGTTCTGTGTGCCTCAACACTCGGAGACTCCTGGGCCTGATTGGGCAAGGCTCCCTGGGAAACCTCTCTCTACTCCCCAGGGGTCCAGCTGCTTTGTCTTGGCCACCTGTGGTCAGTGCTAATGACCTAATGCTCCATCTGTGTGCCCCCCATAACCTAACAAAAGCCCCTCCCAACACAGCTGAGGTGTCCCCCAGGCTCCCAGTCTACCAGGGCCTCCCTCCTGTCCTGGTAGCCTTGGCCTCATGAACTCAGCAACACTCACCTGTGGCCCAGGAGCTCCAGAGGGGCCTTGGGGACCAGGGGCACCAGCATCTCCTTTCTGTCCGGCCTCTCCTTGATCACCCTTGGCACCAGGCTGACCATCAGCACCCTGTAATAGGAAGAAAGGATAGATGAAGGAGAGGCTGGCCACCCCAGGTTCCACCAAAAGGTTAGAGAGTACGTGTGCTTGCACCTACCAGGGGCCTGGAAATTGGGTTTAAGATAGTATCGTTATGTTGTCATGAAAATGTGAATGGAGAAGAAAAAAGTCCATTTCTCCCTTCATTACCTTCTCGCCCTCCTCCCCTCTCTCCCCCACCAGAAGGTACCCTTGAGTTCTTGGTGTGGAGCCAGACCACACACAGTCAGATAGGAGTTGGGTAGACAGAGGTACTCACAGGAGGTCCAGCGAATCCAGCCGGTCCAGGTGGCCCAGTCTCTCCACGCTCACCCTGTAGGAGACCAGGAGGCATCAGGTCCTGTTGCCTGCCTTTATGCTCTCCTCAGAGTTAGAGGCCACTGCACAGCCCAGCTTCATGTCCAGCCTCCCCCAGAGAGACGGCGTCTGAGTGTTCTGAGCCCCAAGGACCCAGAACAGGAAGTTTCTCTCAGCTCAAACTGAACTGGCCGTGCCTAGACCTCTGTCGATTTTCCCTTTCACCCCTAGCCCCAGAGTACAGGGTCAGGCTGGCTTCCTCACTGCTGGGGCCAGGGAGAGCCTGATTGAGGAATATACTCACCGGAGCACCTCGAGCGCCAGTACTGCCTGAAGGGCCGGGAGGTCCGACTTCCCCCTAGGGGTTGAGAGGGTAAGGATCAGGGTAGGCCTGAGGAGCTAAGTGCACAGAGGAAGCCCTGATGTTGGGAGGGGCACGGGTATCCCTAGACCCCACCCCCACATCCATCTCTCTTCTGGTCCCAGCTGCCCCATCTGTCTCTTCAAGACCTTGGCCGAGGGCACTTTTCTACCAGGCTAGCTGCCCTACCTTAAAGGCCACACAAGTCATAGGCCAACAGGACAACCCCACACACAGCATACCCCACCCACCCCACCCTCTTGGCTCCATTGAGGAAGGTGATGGCTGATGCCTGGCAGGAGGTACATTCTGGAGGAGGCAGAGGGAGGAAGGCTATCCACAACTCACCTTCTCACCATTGGCACCTGCTGGGCCTGGGGGCCCAATGGGCCCGGTCAGACCCTGGAGAGAGAAAGATGAAGGTAAGGGAGGAAAACAGGTCAGTACCATGAGGTTCCTCAAGGATTCTGGGGGCCCCACACCCAGTAGACTTTGGTGTACCCCCCATGGTTTCAGAGCCCCCCTACTCACTGCCTGGTCCCCAGCTCTAAAAGGAAGTCCCTTGGTTTCCCAGCCCTGCCCCCTCTTTTTGAGTGCCAGACACCCATGGGGACCCTTGCTTCTGTCCCCATGCCAGCTCTAAGTCCCATATCCGGCATTCACTTACTCGTCCACCATCTTTTCCAGGAGCCCCCTCTGGACCTTTTTCACCAACATCGCCCTGCGGAAGAGAAAACCAGGTAATTTAGGGGGCCCTCCGGGACCAGCTGCCAGTTCAGCCCTGCCTGGCTAAGGTTCTGGAACCCAGTCCTTGGGGCTGGTGACAAAGTATCAAGAAGTGAAAGAACACAGAAACAGATGTCACTGTAGCAGAGAGGGCTTTGTGTGTGTGTAGGGGGGGTCCTAGTTTTTCAAAGAATGACCCGGCCCTCATCTTCAGAAGCACAAGGAGTGAGTGTGAGGGGGAGATGTGTTGCGGCTGTGGCTTTGGGGTTCTCCCAGTACTTACTCTGTCTCCCTTGGGCCCGGCAATACCAGCTGCTCCTCTCTCACCAGGCATCCCCTGTAGACCTGGAGGGCCCTGAGCCCCAGGAGGGCCGTCTGGGCCAGGTGCACCCTAGAGTGGAAGATGAGGAGTGTGTAGTGAGCTGTACCTCTCTCGGGGACACACCGTGTGCAGCCCAGGAAACCAGGGTCCCAAACCCCTTTCCCTTCCTTCCTCCCCTTAAGCCCCCTTTCCAGCGCCACCTCCCAGCAAGCCCTCATGGCCCTCCTCTTTCCTCCCTCCTCTCAGCAGGTCTCCCTAGGGCTGGTGGAAGACGCTGCAGGACTTAGCCTCACTTACTTTGGGACCATCAGTACCAGGGGTGCCAGGGAGGCCACGAGCACCTTGGAGGCCTTGTGCACCAGGAGAGCCACGTTCACCTGGGAAACCTCTTTCGCCCTGTGGAAGAGACACCGGGCAGCAATCAGGCGGCAGTGGTGGGGAAGGGGAAGATGAGGTGGGGAGGGGGAGGGTCCCCCCCAAGGCAGGCTGCAGTGCTGGGAGGCATGGGAAAAACTGAATGGAGAGAAGGCAGGCCCAAGGAGACCCTGGCACTGGATGGCAGGACACTCACCCTGGGACCCACAAGGCCAGGAGCTCCAGCTTCACCAGGAATACCCTAGAGAACAAAAGATGTGTAAGAGTGAGAGCTGAGTGCTCTACACTCCAGACCCCAGAACATGCCTCCCTCCGTGTTGTGCATGCCCACATGCCCACATGCCCACATGCCCACATGCCCACATGCCCACATGCCCACATGCCCACATGCCCACATGCCCACATGTTGGCTGAGCTTAGATGGTTGTTGGGAGAGCTGGGAACCAGGTTTGGGACATTCCTCAGGCTTCGTGGGGCTCTTCACACACGCTTTCTCTTATCTCCTAGACATCAGCTAAACAAGTACAAAGAGCTCCACACTCACCTGGTCACCTTGTTTCCCACCTTCACCTGGGGGACCAGGTGGGCCGGGAAGACCCTGCAAGTCAAAGTGACATGGATCAGCAAAGAGTTGTGTTTGCTGCCTCAGCCTCCAGGAAGACGCAGCACAGGGCAGACATGAGAGGGGTGGGCCTGCTACCCATAGTGTGTGCCCAGAGAACTCTAGACATGGGCCGGGCATTGCACAGAAAGTGTGGTCCAGCAACCTACCTGGAAGCCCGATGGCCCAGGAGCACCCTGCTCGCCTCGTTCACCTGCAGGTCCCTGCAGAAGGGGGGGAAAGGTAAGCTAAGCTAGGAATTTGGAGAACTTAAGGTCCCGGGGAGTGGATTAGAGAAGCCTCCCTGGATTGACCAGCACTCCATCATCCACCCACACTTCCATCCTCTAAGCAGGTTCCACTGCCTCCAGCAATCCTCTCTCATCTGGAGACGGTTCATCCCAGACCCATGTCTGTCATCTCCATTCTCGATGGATGTTAGGTTCTTTGTTTGTAGCTCTCACAAAGCCACCTGGAGAAGCTGGGTAGGTACTTACAGCAGGGCCAGGGGGTCCAGCAGCCCCTGTCTCGCCATCTTTGCCAGGCAGACCCTACAAGGCAGAGGAGAAGGAGTTTGATGACATAGGTCCCAAGGTGTCACCTGAGGCCAGCAGATGTATTTTTGGGATCTGAGGTTTTCAGATCAACAAGGTCCTCAACAGAACTGCACTTTTTTGCCCCTCCCTGTACTTCCCTCAGACTTTCTCTACATAGACATCTTCCTCTGTACCTGAGTTTTGCCTCTGAAACCCCTCAGCAGCCAGTAGATTCTCTGGGTGGATCCCAGAAGGCACAGCCTAGCACGTGATCAGCTTGTCATCAGTCTTGATAACCAAGACTCTGAAGACCATGTCTAGGGGTGCACAACTCATGTTCCCAATAGGTATCCCACCAACACCAAGCCACAGACAGCGTGGAGAGCACTTACTCTTAGACCAGGAGCACCAGCCAGTCCCTTCTCACCAGCTTTGCCAGGCTCGCCCTGAAGGAAGGGGAGAGAAAACGATGAAGTGGATAGTTGAGGATGGCGTGAAACATAAAGTAGGCTAAGGAGCCTGGGGTCTGAAACCCAACCCAGTGCACAACTGAAGGTTGTGCCCCTTCTCATATTCAGAGGCATCCAGGCTACTAGACTCTATGGTATAACATCCAGAGGTGATGTCCTAAGGTTCTAAGTCTCCCCCAGATTGCATGTGTTGTCCATGGTAGGACGTGGGAGACAGAGCTGCCCATGACATTGAGAGCCCATTGGCCACCTGCCCTGAGTTAACTGTTCAGAAACCAGCTTTTTCTCCAAAGGATATAGAAGAAGGTAACAGAGAAAACTGTTACTTACATTGGCACCTTTGGGGCCAGGGAAACCCATGACACCAGGCTGCCCTCGAGCTCCCTGAGGACCAGGAGGTCCAGGACGACCATCTTCACCAGGAGCCCCCTGAAAGATAGGATGCCATTCTCCAACCATAGTCTCTCTGATAATATTTTCCCACCAGTAGCTAAGTGCCTATTGTGTGACAGGCACGGAATGAAGTACCAGACATGTACATACATCTAGGGTTGACCAACCCACACACATACACCCATCTACAGGAAGGTGCTCTCCTGGCTCAGATGTCTTCCCTGAAGCCCTTCCTAGAAGATGCTCAAATGCTGTGTGTGTGTGTGTGTGTGTGTGTGTGTGTGTGTGTGTGTGTGTGTTTAAGAGCTCAAAGTACAGGTCACATATGCCCATAAAACCTACCATCTATCTCTTACACCACCCCTAAACTGTACAGAATCCTAGGCTGCCTTCACCCAGGCTCCCTTCCCTCTCCCCATTGTCTCCTGAAGGATACCCGCTTTCTCTCTTCCCAGGAGCCTTACTCTGATGATTGACTTACAGAAGGACCAACTTTGCCTTGAGGACCAGCATCACCAGGACGACCAGTAAGACCCTTTGTTTAGGAGAGAGAAGAGACTGATTAAGTCAGGGGCAGACCCTAAATCTCCCAGTTCTAGCAGCACAGCTTAGATGATGCAGGTGGGAAGGGTGCAGGGGTCTGCGTAGCATCCAAAATTAAGGACAGCGGCAGTGACCTCCTCCTTACCCGTGCTCCAGGAAGGCCAGGTTCTCCAGGACGACCTGGGTCGCCATTAGCTCCCTTGGGACCAGCCAGGCCACTAGGTCCTCGCTCTCCAGGGGCACCCTACACCAGACGAGACAAAAAGTCAGTGGAATGCTTTATAACCAGGGAAATGGGGAGAGACCAAGCCCTTCTTTTGACACTCACCTTGGGACCTGCCAGACCATCTTGACCCGGGAAACCACGGTTGCCAGGGGCACCCTAGGAGAAGTAGGCAAGAGGCAGAGGGTGAGGATGGCTGTTCACCAGCACGGCTGGAAGGAGATCCACCAGTCTCCAGGGGGCCATCCCATCCACCTCCTACCACAGTATCTATAGGTAGCCACAGTCTGCAAGACCCTGAGAGGCTAACCTAACATCTAGTACCTGTTCCCACCTCTCTAGGAAGAAGCTCTCTGTTTATACCACCCTTGGGACAGAGCACAGATAGCATAAGGATGCTTTGTGCCCCTAGTGTTGGAGGGGACAGAGAAGAGAACATTATCCAGAGAAGTCATTGGACATGGCCAAATCAAAGAGCCACAGGCCTGGACTTGTAAACCTGGGACCTCTTGCATACTTACTCTTTCTCCAGGGGGACCAATGGGTCCAGCACCGCCGGGTTCCCCTCGAGCGCCTCTTTTACCTTCCTCACCAGCAGGACCAGGGGCTCCCTGGGGCCCAGCAGGACCCTGATGACAAACACAAGAGAAACAGGATAAGGTTTTCACCTCGTCTTGGGGAAAGCACTGGCCTGGTGTGCAGAGGAAGTGGCTTTAGGAATATTTCGGGGAGGGAGGAGGGCTTGGGCAAAGGGGTCAGATGGGGTCAGCCATGGAAGAGGAGAAGCAGCCCAAGAAAAAGAGATGGCTTGGAACTCAAGCTACTTGAACTGGGAGAGGAAGCTGCATCAGGGTCTCCCCTACCCTATCTTGCTCCCTTCTCCAGGGCCTGGGATGGGGAACAGTGGGGCATAAGGTAGATCTGTGGGGCAGAACTATAGTAAAGACAGACTTGAAGGCAGATACTCACAGTTTCTCCCTTGGGGCCTTGTTCACCTTTGAAGCCAGCAATGCCAGGCTCACCCTAAATGAGAGAAAGAAAAGTGTTTACACTGGGTTCTCTCAAAAGAGCCTGCCTTCTTACCCACCCCACCCCTGGAATCCTACTGTGGTGAGCCAGGGCAGGAAGGCACAGAAAGGGGGTGTGTGGGTAGGACATGGCGATCATTACAGACTCTTACCATCTGACCTTTGGGACCCAGAGGACCTGTTGCACCTTGAGGACCAGGAGGACCGCGGGGTCCAGGGAAGCCAGGGGCACCAGCAATTCCAGGAGCACCCTATTAGCATGAGTAGATGAGAGGAAGGTGAGGAAAGGACGAGGAAGACCTGAGCCACCCTGAGGACACAGCCCCGGGCAGTACTTACAGCAGATCCTTTGGCTCCAGGAATGCCATCGGTTCCTGGGTTTCCCTGGTGAGGAGATGGTATGGCTGTAGTATACAGCAAAGAACCAACCCAACCAACCCGCCACCAGGCCCCAACCTAAGGGTCAGGGACAAGTGTTGTCATTTCAGCGACATTCCTGCTGCATCAGGTGGACTATGGGTGAAGGGAGACAGGTCTGGGGGTCAGTGGGAGGTACCTGGCCAGCAGGAAGGTTTAGTGGTTAGGCCCCAGTGCCCCCTTCAAGGCCCACATGCACTCAGGAGGGCCAAGGCCACAGATGTCAGAACTTACAGAAGCACCTGCGGGCCCAGGGGACCCAGGATTGCCAGGCTCGCCACGAGGACCTTGAGCACCTTCAGGACCGCGTGCACCGGTGGGGCCAGCTTCCCCCTGGGAAGAGAGCAGCGGGTGAAGGGAAGGAGGGGCGGCAGCAGCGCTCAGCCAGCTGTGTGGATGACTCTTGCACATGCTCACACACCTGCCAGGGAGCAGGTGTGAGGTGAGGTGACATCCCATGTTTGCCTTCTCTACTCTGCACCTAACCTCTGCCCTGTCAGCCCCTGTCAGAGACGCCTGGGTTAGGGGATGTGTCATCTTAGGGCCACGGGATGATGGACAGATGGGCAATCCCTTTCCTGTCCCCTTTGTGTTTTCTCTCAGACGGAAGAACAGAAGCCAAAGGGTGATTCCCAGGCTCTTGGTCTTCTGTTTCCTTCAGCATCTCAGCTCAGAAGTGGCTTCATTTCTGTGTGGCCTGGGCTATCAGAGCTGCTCCAGGCTTCCGCTCAACTTGTTGGAAGTGCCAGTAAGCCAGGGCAGGAGCAAGCTGGGACAGGCTCCCCGACTCTACTTTAAGTTAACTGGCAGGCCTCTCCTATCCACAAACTGTCTTTTTATCTTCATTTTTTTCCCTAAAAGTCACGGCTTGCTGTGATCTGGCTCTTTGGACCGAAGCCCCTGGGGAAGGCTGCTGGCCTGGAGAGAGGTCAGAACCTCCTCAGGTTTCTTCACATAGCATTCTTGCTTCACTTTGGTAATTATTATTTTCTAAAGGTCAGGCCCCCTCACCTTCCCCTGTCCCTCCTCACAATGGGTCTCCTTCACCAGGCTCCCGGAGGCCTCAGACACTGTCTGGTTGCCATGGAAACTCCCAGGAGTGGAAAAGCAACCTGATGCCAGTGGCACAGGGAGGCTCCTTATTCATTCCCAGGGAAGTCCACACTGGAATGAGCCACAAGGGCCTTTCCCTGAACTGGCTGGCCTCCCACTGGCCTCTATTAATCCTTGGAAGAACCATATTAGCAAGGGCCCAGAGCGCAAATGAAGTAGAAATAGAAAGGGGTAAAGGGCACAGAACTGTCTTCTTGCCTCGGCCCCTCCCCCTCAGGCCCCTTCTGGGTATGTCAGCTTTTGTACACCCTTCTTCCCCTCTTCATCCCAGCCTTCTCCCACAGGTCTCTAGATTCCTTCTTTCTCTACAAGGTGGACCTCCAGCCTATCATCAAACCTTGTTCTCTCTTTGAGAGAGACACTCTGGAAATACCTAGAGAGGCTAGAAGCAGGGACTCTTTCAAAGGAAGGAGGTGAAACAAGGGATCTTAGCAAGGGCTATGGGGTGAGAGAGTGCCTTGACTCTCTGAGATTCTCAGTTCGACCAGCAGATCACATACCTTGGCACCAGGAGCTCCAGGGAATCCAGGACCACCCGCAGGACCAACAGGACCCTGGAGAGAAGGGGTGAAGGTGAATGCTCCCAGCCCTCAAAGAGAGACACCCCATCTCACACTCCCTCCCGGCTTTGGACTTTTGCTCTAGCCCATTGTGCTAGAAGAACCTGTCCTGGCTGCTGTCCCCGGGGAACTGCAGAGTGATGCCTTGTTTTGCCTAGTAAGTTTCTGAGTTTACATATTATGAGAAGTCACAAGGCCTTGACCTCTCTTCTCAGAAAAGACTGCAGCTGGACGTACGCTGTTTGCAGTGTTTCTGATATTCTTAAGGTCACCTCCTTCTTTATGCAACTACAGGAGCAACCCTACAGACCTCAGCTACTGTCACCACTTAAGGATGAGGGGAACTTACCGGAGGTCCAGCAGGACCTGGCTGGCCATCGTTGCCCCGGGCACCCTGTGTACAAGAAAAAAGCCAATGTAAGAGGTGTCCACAGAACCAGCTGTGCCCACTACAGCCCACCTTCACAGAAAATGTGGGGACATGGCGTTGGGGTGCCCCAGGCTGAGCATCAGCAGGGTATGTGTCTGCAGCAAGGGAATCCCTATGGGATATCTGCATGAGTGGATGAACAGAGGGCACCAGGGGGCTTGTTCTCATGGGTAATGAAGCTTGGGCAACTTCTCAATAGTCCTGTCACTTCTAAAACTTCCGTTAGGTGCCAAGTATTCCTGACTTTGAGCTGGATGACCATTCAGAAAGCCAGTGAACTAGGCAAAAGGAAGATGGCGGCCTGCCCTTCTGCTGGGAACCCTGGGCTCAGGCCAAGCCTCCTCTCCATGAACTCCCAGGTAACCTCCGGGTCCTCCCAGACAAGTGCTGTTCAGGACAGTAGAAATATCCCCAGGATGCTCTCTCCTGGCCTAGAAACCTACTCCATGACAGGCCATCAGCCCAGACCCACAACCACACCTGAGCTTGTATCTCTGAGTGACTTGTCTTTGCCAAGCGATTGAGGCTGTTCCTTCTCTACAGGACTTGGACTTTGGGAGTCCCACTAGTTTGGGGTGAAAACCTCGGAGGTCCCCTCTCAAGTGCCTACTATGAAGCCGTTCTACTCTAACATCGGGTACAGCCAGGCCTAGGACCCAGAAAGCTAAGGCAGTGGCCCTCAACCCTTCTAATACTGCGACCCTTTATTACAGTTCCTCATGATGTGGTGACCCTCCCAACCATAAAATCATTTTTGTTGCTACTTTGTAAATAATTTTGCTACTGTTATGAATCATAATGTAAATACTCATAGAGAGAGAGGTTTGTCCGGAGTTGAGAACCACTGGGCTAAGGGAAGGCTTTCTGTAGGTCTCTATCTCTCCTCAGAAGCACAAGGGAAGCATGCTCTGTGGGACACAGTCTTTTTCCTGGTGTGGGCCATCTCTCCTCACAGAGCCTCCAGCCTGGCCACCAGGGATGGGGTTGCACAAGGAAGCAAGACTCAGTGGAAGAAATGGCAGAGAGTGCAGAGTCTGCTCTCCAGCAGCTCTTCCTGGCTGAGTCAACTACTCTGGAAACCCTAGTATACCTTCCCTCCAGAGTCAGTCAGCAAGGCCTAGGAACACCTAGACTAGGAGGCCTCTGGGAGACCTCCAACAGAGACCAGTAAGAGTGAGGAGAGTCACAAAAAGCCTCAACACAATGCAGAGAGCAGTCTAAGCCGAATCTCACAGTCATCCTGCCAGCATGATCACTATGTGAACAAGAACCACCAAAGAACCGGACCAGGACCTTCTCTGTCTGGTTAGGAGGAGGGGTAATGCGAGAGGGAGGCAGCAGGCTATCTTCAGCCCTTCACAGGGAGCCACTGGTACCAGCCCCCCATCCCCACTCTGCAGAAGCAGCAGCCCCTTAGCCTCCTTCCCCAGACACAAAATGACCCTGGGGCGAGGTCCTTGAGCCGCTCTTGTTGATAGTAGGGGTCAAGGCTGCTTGGTTCACAGACCTGCTACTGAGGGAAGTTTCTTCCACCCAGATGCATGGTCTGGAAAACAGCAACATACAGCAAGCTGATTTATTTCAGTTGCCCTGCAGGGACCTAGGAGGAGGGGCCTCCGAGCTCAGTTGGCAGGGGAGTAGACCAACAGAAAACCATAATCTTCCCTAAACAGGGCTTTCATCACATCATTTGCCTGACCAAGCACCTACAAGGCCTCTGGTGCCTGGGGATCCAAGCTAACCGCCTTCATCTGGCACCTATTCCCTCCATTCCTGCCAGACCCCTAGCTCGTGGATTCCCACATTAACTAGAAGCCAGTAGAAGTCTGGGTCCTCAGTGCCCAGTGTGTTCATTCTTTCTGGGCCTCAATTCCCTCTTCTTTAAAATAAGGATAGCCGATCCCATCTCACAGGATGAGGGGAAGATTAGACAAAGCAAAGCACGCAAGGGTGGAGGCCACCAGTGTTATATCGCAACACAACCCGGGCCAGCATCAAGCATGGAGGCCTGTGAGCCTAGGCTAGCCTCCTTTCTCTTTTTCTAGGGTGCTGTCATACAAATCAAGAAAAAGGACAGAGTCATAGCTTGGACAGCTACCACTATCCAAATCTGTTCCTGAACCCTGACTGCATGAATTGGAAGGAGGTAGAGGCTACTGAAGGGATAGGTAACCTGAAGAGGCCAGACTGCTGAAGAGACCCTAACTCTTATACCCTACTCACCTGTAACAACCGACTCCTTCCTCTCTGCAAGCCCCCTCCCCCCAAGCTCAGGAGTGGGAAGACTCAGGGTGGAACCTTCTGGTATGATAGTGCTCCATATATCTCACCAAGTTGGGTTTTCTTTGTTGGGAATTGGGAGGGTTGAGAAAGGTCTCACTGTTTATATGACCCAGGCTGGCCTTGAACTTGTCATTCTCCTGCCTCAGCTTCTCAGGTACTAGGACCATAGGTCTGTGCCTCCCAGCCCAGCTTATCACAGAGCTGTTTTGAGAGCTCTACTTGTAAACTGTAAAGTGTTGAACACATGGTAGCAACTGGCTTTGGGGGCTTACTCACAGCAGCTCCAGCAGGGCCAGTCCGTCCTCTCTCACCAGGCAGGCCTCGGGGACCCTGCAACCAACACGGTCCAAGCATAAGTCGGCATAATGGTGGGCTGTGTGATGACTGCACAGGAGGGTCCTCCCCACCCATGCTGGCCAGGAAGCAAAGAACAGCAACCCTGTTCCCAGGGCACAGCAAAGCGCAGAGCCTCCTCCAAGCAGACCCATGTGTGTTCCTGTTGCTGCCTATGGGGCTCGTTTTTTACAAGCTGACAGATGAGTGCCACAAAGCACTGAGGACAAACAGGTTTTTTTAAAATCCTGAAACATATTTTAAATGTGTCTAACAGTTCCTGTTTTGAGGATGTGCAGGCAGGTGAAAGTCTGAGCAACCTGTCTAGTGCACATTGGTTTTGCTCATAATCAGAAAAACCTGCAAAGCCAGGTATCTGCTCTGCACAAATGCGTGAAGGGATGCTGTAGTTAGCGATGTGGCCCTCTGACAGCTGTTAGGGGTACATTTTTAAAAAAGATGTTCCAGACTATTTAATTTATTTCTACCCCCATCTTTTTTGTTATTGAGTTATATATTTCCCCCATTCCCCTTTCCTCCTCCCCTATACCTACAGGGGTCTTAAGAGCATTTGGTGGCTTTCCTATGGATGGTTCATACTCACCATTGGGCCTGGGGAACCGTTCTCACCGGGGGAACCACTCTCACCCTGGGATAAAAAGATATAGGGTCAATGTGTTGAGTCCTAGCTTCCAGAAACTTCCTAGGTTGAAAGATCTGGGTGGTTCAGTGCGGGTTGAGACATGCCAGTTTCAATTCTAGCAGAGATATCCACCCTCCCCCCAAGCTCCAAGGCTTGCTGTTCATCTACCAAGATGTGGACTTTTGGGTATTCCTAACTATGTTCTAACTCCCTAAACCCTTCAACATCTCCTTGGCTGGATAGGAAATCTCCTTCGGTCCTTCATCACCAATCCAGGTGTGTTTCCTGGTTCTTTACCTTCACACCTGGAGCACCAGCCTCTCCCTTAGCACCATCGAGGCCTGGGTAACCCTGGGAAACAAAAGGAAGCTTTCATTACATCTGGGAACTCACACAGGACATAATGTGTGTACCCTCAAATATCTCCCCCGAGTAGCTCCTGCTTTCCAATACCATTACCCATGATGCTTACTCTGTGACCTTTGACACCAGGAAGGCCTGGGGTTCCAGGGAATCCACGAGCACCCTGCAATGCAAAGAGGAGATACTCAGGGGAAAGAAGTAATTGGGCAAAAGCTGCTGTTGGCTGCTGGAGAGCTTGCAGATCCAGATCACTCAGGCTACCAATGAGAAGCAGGCATCCAGACATCTCCACAGCTTCCTCAGCTGAACCCAAACCATCACCTTGAGCTCACACAAATATGATCGCCAACTTGAAGGCAGGATATACGAAGGAACCATTATTACCCAATTTTACCCTGAGCCAATCAAGCTAGGTGAGCTGTATGGTCTAAGTAAGGGGAGAGACTGGAAAAGCCTTATGAGACTAGGAAAGGTGGGGCTTTACCTGGGGGCCAGGAAGGCCTCTTTCTCCAGATTTTCCAGGTTTCCCAGCTTCGCCCTGAACAGAAAGAGAGGGGTCTCATTTTTCTCGACAGTCCCATGAGCATCACTGGTGTCCTCCATGTCTGTGTCTGTGCTGCCTGTCCCCTAATCACCTCCCTGGATGCCTCCTGCCTGGATGCCTCTCCTGAGTCGCAGCTTATTCTTTGTCATGTGTTTCCATCCTCACTGGTCTCCAACTTCTCCAGCAAGCTTTTGCTTTCCTCCCCAGAGCTCTGTGGGCTGGCCTGTAGGCCCTGACCTCCAGAGCTCGGGAAAGCCAGCTCCTGTCTCTGCTCCTTTTCAGCCTCTGTAGACATCTTGGCTCAGACTGAGCTTTCCTACCTCATTACCAATTGAGATGATGTTAGGGTGTTTGTTGAACGATTCTTTCTTTGTTTTTTCTACCCTACAGCTCTGTGCCTTGCGTTTTCCTGTCCCTTCTCTGATTTCTCAATTTATCTTCCTGAAGTTTTAATGATGTTTTAATTATTCTCCTTCTCATCAGATCTGAAACAGTCCCCAGAGACCCAGCAGACTAAATTGCAAGTAGGTGTGTGGGTGATAGACAGCTGGAATTTAGGACTGGACAGCCTTGTTCCTTGGGAAGCCTCTCTACCCAGAAGCCTTAGCGCACACCGTCCCTGGGGTTTGGGGGCTTCTTAGGTGTACTCACATCATCACCAGGTTTCCCAGGAGGGCCTGGAGGACCACGGGGACCCATGGGACCCTACAAAAAGAGAATGTAAGAGATGGTTAGAAGAGAAACACAATGGGCAAAATGCAAGATGGTAGTTTTAGAAGCTAGTTATCCTACGAGAAAGAAAGGCAAAGGGGTTAGAACAAAATGGTAAAGGAGATCATGGCGGGAGAAGGGGACAGTGTGGGCTGGTGACCCCCAGAAGGGGAAGTATCATGATGGGGTTCCTGCCATGTTGGTTCTCTGAAAGAGTGCTCCATGGATAGGGAGTAATAGCTGAATTTCCTATGGCCTGCCAACTGTGGGAAAGAGCCGGCAGAGCCTGGAAGGAGACAGTATCTTGGGATGGTAGACTGTCCCCAGAAGCTCCTGAGAGAGGGTAGGTTGTGGTACTCACAGAGACACCAGGCTCGCCAGGTTCACCAGGATTGCCTTGAAATCCTTGAGGGCCCTAGAAGGGAAAGTAAGGCACCACGTTGACCCCCAAAATGCAGAAGCTTGATGAGCATCTGCAATGCCACCAAGAGAAAAAGAATGAACACTTACGGGAGCACCAGCAGGGCCTGGGGGTCCTCGAGGTCCCATGGGGCCCTGCATTGGGACAGAAAAATGAGAGACGTACTGAGCCTGCTGTGTCGTCAGTTTCAGGGCTGTGCCTTCTACTAGCCCGCAGCCAGACAAAGGACAAAATGATACTGTAGGGGTGGGGGCCAGATGGCCTCCAGTGGCTGTGCCCTCTTCTGTCCCACTCTCCGCTCAACCATCTATTTTTTATTTATAGGCACCATTTGGACCAAGAAGCTGGCCTTGCTTTCTCCTGGATGGCTGCCATGTTTACTAAAGTCTGAATTTCATTTAGCATGTGCCAAGACAGCACTGCGGGGTGAGATTTCCTGCTGGAAGCCTTGTGGATGCTGGAGAACAGTAGCTGCTGTCTGCATTCTTCAGTTCTCATTCCAAGAGCAATAGCAACTGGCCCTCTAATACATCAGCTATATGCCTCTCTCCATCCTCATTCTTTCTGCTCACTCTAGAGCTTCATTCAAAACCAGCATCCATCACCATTAAAAACCAAACTCCTTGGGCTAACTAAATGAGAGCTTCTACATAACCGATAGAGAAGAGATGCTCCAAACAATGGCCTCCCATTTGGGCAGCTAAGAACTGCTATCTTACCATTGGACCTTGCATCACTCCCATCTGGGCACCACCAGCCTTCTCATCAAATCCTCCAGCCATTTGGGCTGCAAAGTTCTGCAAACCAATGAAACAGTGTTACGAGGCTGAGAGGCCCTGACATCCCTGCTTGCCAGGAAGCTTGCTTTATATGGAGAGAAAGAATTCTATCTAGTTTCTAGTTATTACCAAGAGACACTGATAAAGTTTTGGGGATGTGTCCTCGAGACAGTGGCCGGATCCCTTCCCTGGAGAATCAAGGACTATTTGTAGTAGTCTCAGCCCCTCACACTCTGCTTTGTAAACTTTTATAGTCTTACATGTTATATAAGCAAAACATCACTCTTAAAAGGCATTCTTTGTTCTCCAAGATGTTGATGTCTGGAAAAGGCCTGAAATCTGGTCTTGAAATATTTCAGGAAGGGTTGTAGCAGGCGTCTGTGAGCCCACTTAAATTGGAGAATTCAAAACATAGCAAACCTCTAAATGGCACATCTACAAAAGCTGAGCAGTCATATAATTTGTTGATTGGTGTGATTCCAAACACGACAGTAGCCACACACCTTCACTCAGTGGGGCTCTTTCATGAGAATGAATAGTTGCTTGGAATGTACTTGGCAAGGACCACAGACAAATGTCTTCCAAGGACAGTGGTCACTGCTCTTCCAGAGAAATACAAGTGCCCAGTCATTCTTTTCCCACACCCCTATACCCACCCCCAAGACTCAACCTCATGACCGGGTGCCAGGAAGCCAGGTAGCTGAAGGCCTTCTTTACAGAAACCCAATGAGTAGAAAAGCCAACCTTCAGCCCCACAGCTTCAAGCCTCATGTGTGAGTCCACTCAATTACAGGCCTGAGGCAAAGCCTACAAACAGGCTATGTACATACTGCTGGCATAGTGGGGTCAGTCAGGTAACTGAAAGTAGCAATTTAGAAGCCACAGTTCTGGAGGGACAGCCTGGAGAAAGGAGAAATAAGGACACTTACTCCAGTAAGGCCAGGAGGACCCGGGGGGCCTGGAGGGCCAGGGGGACCAGGATTTCCAGGGGTACCAGGCTCTCCATCTCGGCCACGAGGTCCAGGTGCACCCTTGTCAGAAGAGAAAAAGGCTTTAGTGGAGCAATGCATCTTTAGAGCCATCTGCCCCAGGCAGCTGCCATGAGGCAATCAGGCCTGTAGAGGACCTTGGGAATACAGAAGGAAAGACTTATTGGTGGGGTCTACATACCTTTTCTCCCTTGTCACCACGATCACCTCTGGGTCCTTGTTCACCAGCCGGTCCCTGAAGGTGAGGAACATGGTGTGGTGACATGAGACTAGAGACCACAATGGCTCAGTTGCAGTAAGGGAAGCATGGAGCAAGGGACATTTTCCTTTCTTACCTGAGGGCCAGGAGGTCCTTTAGGTCCTACGATCTGTGTGAGACAGAATCACAGACCAGTTGGTTAGAGGGACACATTTAGAACAACAGGCATATGAGCTGCAGTGGGGATAATTTGTACTTACATCCTTGATGTCTCCAGGTTCTCCTTTCTGCCCCTGCAACATGACACATTGACAGGAGTAAGCTGAGCAGAGCAGATAGGCCCCAGCACAAAAGCCCCACCCCACCACCCTGTGTGTCCTCTAGACTGACATATTCTGAGGTCTAAAGAAGAGGCATAGACCGGATTAGCATCTCAGTACTTCTGAGGAAGAACATGGGAAAGCACAATCCGGGGCCAGTGAAGCAGCACCAGCCTGATGGCCTATGGTGGAAGAAGAGAACCACGTCCTCAGAGTTATCCTCCGGATGCCCCACATGCATCACATGGGAGAGGGAGATATAGTTAAATTAAAAACAGCGTGCCTCACCTTTGGTCCTAGTTGTCCTATAAGGGAAAACAGAGAAGGACAAGATGAGACAGGGACCATTTCTTGTCATCCAAACTCTCTTTGGAGGGCCAAACTAAAAAGACCACAACCAAGGGAGGAAGCAGATCCCTCTGTGGCTCCCCCAATCCCTCTGTGAGGGAGATGTTAGGATCCCAGAGCCCTTCTGTTTCTGAGGACTCACAAGGAATGGAGGTGTCTCTGACTTTATTAGTCAAAAAGCATGCATGGTGTCCAGGGATAATTGTGAGCAGGAAAGAGGCAACCAGGGGGCAAAGCAGAAGAGACCCAGAAGTCAGGCCCCCTTCCCAGCCCACGCCCTCCCAAAGAAGAGTTATAAGCTGAGGAAGCCTTACATTAGCATGGAGTCTCCTTGAAGCAAGCACAAAAAAAGAGCAGGACACAGAAGTTAATTGCAGCCAGGGCCATTCTAAACTGATAAGTCCCTTCCCCACCATAGCCACAAAGACCTATGGGCCACCAACACTGCCCTGGCATGGGCCCCTCAGACCTTGACAGGATCTGAGAGTCTGCCCCATACAAGGCATCAGTGTTGGGGAAGCATTCAGGAAAGGCAACTTCTCGATTCAACTCTCTTCTCTATATGAGTAGGAAGGGGACAAAGAGACTTGTGTGTGGGTCCCCACCTTCCCTGTAGGGAGATGGGACACTGTGTGAGAGCTGGGAAGCAGTCACAGGTATTCATAGTGGGCACTGGTTCTAGCTGGGAGATAGTAATTGTCACCTTCATGCAGAAATGTGACCAAACTTTCAACTCCCAGAGCCTAGGCACTCCTTCAGGTTTTCTGCTTCTTAAATGGTGGCCAACACCAAGCAGGGATCAATGCAAAGAGGGGGCACCACCATTGTTCTCTATCCCAAAGTGGGAACCCTGTCTGTACCCCTGCTTCCTGACAGAGGTTTCTTCTCCACATGCATGACCGTGTCCGAAAAGCCCTTGTCTTAGAGAAAACAAGATGTGGGTGACACAGTAGCTAGGCAGAGCCTGATTTCCATAACGTGGTTCCAGTAATTAGCAGGCTTGACCTAAGGGGAAAATTTTGTGGAACCATATCTGTAACCCTGTAAGTGTTAGAAACATGCCTGAGGTATTTACTAGGTGAGGGGGGGGGTCTCTCTGGTGACAGTCTCGCCAGGTTTCAATCTGCAATCGAGAAGTGGCCTTGCCCTCTTGCCCCTACTGCTGGGGCCAAGTGGATAAGCAGCTTCTCAGATCAAAGAGAAGACCTACATCCATGGAAAGCTATCTGCTGCAAGTAATTTATTTATGTTGGGTAATAAATAAATAAATTACGACCACTGGCAGGGGTGAGGTCAGCTGGGCAGATGGGACAGCACTCTCCGAAGGGGACCTCGGCGTTGAGGCATTCTTTGTCTTCACAGATTATGTCGTCGCAGAGGATATTCCCAGTGTCACACACACAGATGCGGCAGGATGTGGGCTTCCATACATCCTTATCTTTATATATTTGCCCATCCTGCATACAGCTGCCAGCATCCTCTGCACCAAGCGGGGATGGGAATGGCAGAGCAGGGAGCCAGAGAGAAAGACAAAGAGGTTGCCATCAACTTGACATGATTCAAAGGAATGGGGGAGTCAGACCACACCAGACAGGCCGAACTTGCAAATTAGCTTTGGCAAATAGAACTCATCTTTCTACGAATTCCATGATATCTCATATGTGTCTTGCACTGTGCAAGATGTGTACGTTGGGGGTGGGAGGGTGTGAATCCTGACCCAGCAAGAAAGGAGGGTTGTTACTCTACATCCATCCAGAATGGAAGAGGGGGGCTGGAGACAGGGAAGGATAAGTGGGAAGGGGAAAGTGGGTGGGAGGAGGAGGTGACACCCTGGGTAGGGATCTAGGGGCAGGAAAGATGAAGAATACAGAGAAACTGTGAGCTGTGAGGCACTCACTCAAGAGCAAAGATGTCTTTTTTTTTTTTTTATCATCCTCTAAAAAAAAAGAGAGAGATTTTCTAAATATAGCTGACGGCTAAAATTCAGAGAAAGTGCAGAGAATTCTACCCACAAACATTAGAAGCTATAAACAATATATAAATAATAACTTAAAAGGCAGTGACCCTCCTGCCACAAGTCTTGCCTCAGTCTGAAAATGTCAACTCCAATATGGGTGGCAGGAGGCTCCAAACTTCTGGCTGTGGCTAAGATTCACCAGTCTAGACCTGTGTCCTCCAAGAATGCAAAGAATATCTCGGACTGGACCCTCCCCACCAGTATCCTGCTGTCTGGAATTCTCCCTGCACATGAAAACTGTGCTGACAAGCAAACTTCTCAGAGTGCCAGGGACTGAAGAGGCCGCACCACGTGCTAGGCAGCTCCCAGCGCTGTTTTTCTCATTAAAATCTCAAAAGCAATGGCAAAAGCTGAGGATGAATAATAGCGAAGAGCCACAAACCCAAGGGGCGTGGAGAAAAACAGGCCTGCCTTCTACTCTTCAGGAGAGCGAGAATCCAAAGAGTAAAGTCGCTCCCTTTTCCTTTCCACTGGAAGAAACCCATTTAGTCTCTAGGCGAGACAATCAAGGGGAAAGAGCTGCTGGATACTCCGCCCCCCTCCCCAGGGGGCACTAAAATAGCTGGAGGTGACGAAAGCCTAGTGTCAGCTAATGATGTCCAGTCATGACTTAGAAAGAATACTCTATCATCCAAGAGTGCCTGAAGGAGCCGTGTGTGTGTGTGTGTGTGTGCGGGGGGGGGGGGGGTTTACATCGTGAAAGCTGATCGCGTTCCCCAGGAAGGATGCCACAGGGCCAGTGAGGGCCAGGGGTGGAGCGGCCGCCCTGGGTGTGAGAGCCGCTGGCTGACTCTTTGTGGCTGGTGCTCCGGACACCACCTCTGGCAGACAGACACCCGGAGAGTAAAAAGTGGGATTAGATGCCTGCCCCCTGAGAGGAGCCAACACCGTAACCAGATCCCCTAGGTGCGGTAGGAGGAAGCCAGCACCACCTTAATTGTGGCACGAAAGGGGCTGCAGATAGTATCCTGGCCACACGATCCGGTTCCCCTCGTTACGGCCGCACCGCACAAGTGATTCTTTGTGGCCAGCCAATTAAAAAGCAACCTCTTTCGGGGAACTGTTTTCCTTCGTCGCCGCTGCGCACCGGGCCAGAGCCCGGGAGGTGGCGGCAGGCGGGCACAGGGGGGCATTGTGGGAGAGGGGCGTCGGAGAGAACGGAGTATGGAGGGGGGCGACCCGCCAGGCCTCGCCTCTCATGAATGGGGCTTTTCTCGAGCGTATACAGAGCCCGATTCACAGGTCTCCGCGAGGAACCAGTTTAAATAAATACGGGCAGGGTTTCAGCCCATCTGGAAGCCATCGCTGCCAATCCCCCAACGCAAACACACTTCACAAAGGAGGACTGAGGTCTCCCGCCTCAGCCAGCAGCACTTTTGGAAGCTAGGACTGAGAAATGCAGATGTGGGTCAAAGTCTCCGAGGGACCAAGAAGTTTCCCAAACTTATGGAAAGATGGAGAGGAGGAGCATAGTGGACGCTAGGTTTCTGACATTACTGACATCCATGCAGACTACGTCTTTTCCCCACATCAGGTCTTTGGGACCTGTGGACCCAAGGCTGGAGTGTGGAGGGATTTGCGTAGATGGGACGACCCGAGGGCAAAATCAACCAGTCAGATGCAGAATCTGTTCCTCCTAGAAGGAGGAGACTGGAAGGTTTAGATCCCTCCAAAGCTGTAGAAATCACTCTCTGCCCAGAAGGACCCAGCGGAGAGAGCTATTCGCCACCTAAGCGAGAGCCTTTACTATCCGATGGAGAATTAGGGAAACAGTTTAGACACAACTCACTCCATTGCTCGCTACAGAGAGCACGGTCAAGACCATAACTTTGTAGATGTGTGCTTTTAAAATTTGGACAAAAATATAGTCAGGCCGAGCTCAGACCACGTACAAACTATATTTCCCCAGAGCTCGAGCGCACGACCCCAGCTTATCTCGCTGCCCTGAGCGATGGGGCTGGAAAATGCCATCCTGGGCTCTACATTGCTGCACTCTCCGTTGCAGCCCTGCCCCCGCGGCGCCTGCCAGACCAGGGAGAAGAAAGTCCACCAGGGGCCCCGCCTTCCAAAGCATCTCTGGAGACAGCCGGGTTGCAGCGGAAAGCTCATAATCTTAGAGGCAGAGGGTCTTTGGCCCCCACTTACTACCCAGTTTCACCTGCGATTGATTTACAGTCTGTAACATAAAAAGACAAGGCTGGAATCCTAGCCTTCGGAAACGTGCCCAAACACGTGGAAGAAAATTCTCTCTACCTAATACACTTTCCAGGCTTCGTTTGTCCTAAATATAATCCCAGACAGTGGATCTTACCCAGGGAGGAGGTGGAAAGGTGCGGGTAACCGCCCTTGGACCAGGGCTGTACAGCTGCAACCATAGCCACAAGCAGTTGTTAGCCCTCATCCTCCATCCGCTGCTACAAACACAGTAAAGTAACTCGTTGTAGACCCTCAGAAGGGAGAGGGTAGACAGTGGAGGGAGTGCTCTTGGGGGGACATTTGGAAAGCTGGTCTGGTTGGAGTGTCAATGCTTTTCACACATCAAGTTCCTGAAGCCCAAGGAAGGCACCGGGAGAGAGGAGTTTCAGAGTAAGGCCGGCTGACTGCACCTTACTCTGGGCCAGCCTGGAGGGGGAGGGAACTCGAGAGCAGCATTGAAGAACCTCTTTTTCTTTGTGGCCTCAGATTTCAACCCATCAGTGTCAGAGTTAGCCCTTTGTCTAGAATCCCTTTGCGTACCGCCGCCTCTAACCCCTGGACTAGGCTGAGAAGTCAACCGTAGGCGTCTCTCGATCCCTCTCCTTTTGAATGTGGTGCTTCTTTTGCTGAATTCGAAGCCTCCTGATCAAAGCTGGTAGAAAGGGGCACGTTTACATCTGTGTTTAAACCTGTCGCATCCAACACTTTGTAAGTTCATATCCTTGCTTAACGCAGGGACCTGCAAATGTCTCCACTCGCAACTCTCACCGAGGGTGCTGCCACAGAGTTTATCACTCGCGGAATTCGGCTCAGTGGACTCCTGTGCGCCTAGGTCTCTAACCGGGACTGGGGCGGGAGGGAGGGACGGGGGGGGGGGGAAGTGTAGGAGGAGAAGGGATGCACGTCAGGGAAACGGGCTGGGGATGTGGACTACTTACCGGCATCCTGACCCTGACACCGGAGAACCGCGGCGATGAGCAGTGACAGCAGCACCAGCGATTGGGGAGCCCCGAGGCGGATCATGGCTCACCGTGGGGCCTGGCAGAGCCTGGCCCGGGTAAAGCGCAGCGAGGCGGCAGAGCACGGAGCGGGTCCGGGTCTCTACTGCGCCCTCATGCAGGAGGCTCTAGGGGCAGGAGGAAGAGGCAGGAGACCCGGCAGCCCAGCAGCGCTCTGCGTCTTCTGCCTGCAGAGGCTCCCGTTATATGTGCCCGGTCGCTCCAAAGGCTGGCAAACGGGCCCAAACCGCGGGCCGCCCCCAGCCCCCCGTGGGGCTGTAACCTGAGACCCCGCCCCCGGAGCCCGCCCAGGCCGGACCAGAGCCCACACCTGCCAAGGCCAGACTCCCCTCTCGTGAGCCCAGTTTCCCGCCCCCCATGTGCCCAGTGGCCTGATCGGGCGGGGCACAGAGGCGGACTCCAGTCGCCCCCACTTGGGACTGCCGCACAGCCTCCCCTTCAACCACAGGCGGGAAGGGGGGCCTCTGGCCCCTCCCCTCGAAGTTCTGCTGGGGTTAGAGGGGAGGGGGTTGTTTGCAGAGGCATAAGCCTGGAGCTCTAGACCCAGGACAAAAAAAAAAGACTAGGAAGGACGAAGCAACCGAAAGGAGCAAGGAAGGTGGAGGTGGGAAATTTAGGGGCCAGGGAGGTGAGTGGGGGACCTAAGTATGAACCCATGGAAGTTTTCCGGAATCCTAAATCTGGGGGGACAATTGTCCAGACTTGCCTTCTAGTCCCTTTGCAGAGTACCTGGCTCCGGACTCACACCTGGAGGTTCCTAACGACATCCTCCCTCACCCATCCCCCATTCAAGTGGCTACGAAAAAGCCTCCTCTATAACCTAGGCAGATGCTGGGCTGTGCCAATGGCTAGGACAGGGGCTGGCGTATTCCTGCACCCAGGGAGACCTGTGTGGAGGGGCGGGGGCGGGCAGGCCATGGAAGGGACCAAAGGAACCTCAGAGAAGCGAGGGAGCCAAGATAAAACTGTACGTGCAGCGGGATTGGAGACAGCATCTAGTTCATTCTCTTCCTGGCCCAGGTCCAGGGGATCCCCAGGGACGTGGGCACCCTCAGCCTAGATAGAGCAGCTCTGGCCAGGGACTGCGGGCAACTCTGAGGACCTAGCCAGAGTCTGGAGTCTGCTCCAGCTGGACTCAGTTTGTGAGGGGTGGGAAAAGTGCCAGAGTTTCCCAGTTGCCCTCCCCCCCCCTCACCCTCCGTGTCTTCCCCCCACCCCTGGGCTAGCAGCCTCACTCGCCTTTCCTGCCCCCCCCCCTCTTAGCCCAAACTGCCAGTGTCCTAGGCTCAGCCCAGCCCTTTTTTTCTTTTTGTATAATTTTCATTTTCTCCGTTATATCCATTGAGTTTACTTCAAGGAGTGGGGGCGGTCTGTGAGAACACAACTGTACCTAGCACACTTTTTAACACAAAGGAGGAAGCTTCAGTAAGCTGTTGTGGACTAAGTTGTTTAGATTAACAAAACAGAATTTATTTTACACGTTTATTTCTTTTTTTATGTGTGCATACTGGTTCTCTCCTTTTAACACATGGGTTCCAACGATGACGGTAGGCAAGTGCCTTTTTGCCTGAGCAATCTCACCAGTCCCTACAAAACGGAATCTAATGATAGAAGATACAAGTAACACGTAGGTAACTATATAGCTAGTCATTCAAATTATTGGTCTCAACTCAAGTGGTCACAAAAACTCAACAGTAAAAGTTTTGAAGAAAATGCTAAAGTAGATGAATAAAATGGAAACCTATATGAAAATGATCTAGCTCCATGAGCAACAAAAGTGGGTTATTCTTAATTTCTCCTCTAACTCTGATTCACTCTGACCAAAGGAACGTATAAGAACTCTGGATCAAGTTCTCAGCTTCCTGTAATTAAAAACAGAATTATCAGAGTTGGGAACTAATTAAGACCAAATCAATTTAAAGTTTAAATTGACAAGGTCAGAACAAATGGAAATTATTAGAATTCCACAGCCAGCTATGTAATCTCATTATGCAGAGTATAGTGATGGGACTGAAAAGGACGGAGAAGCAAACATCTGAGTAGCCAGAAGTTATGCATCCGTTTTACTGGTCTATTGGTTCGTAGTTAACATATTGTTCCAAAGGTAGTGTCACCACCTGACCTCACCAACTTGATACACACAAATAGAGTGGCTCTTTTGAGGCAATACAATGAATACAGCAAAAGAGCTAGGAATGTGGCTCCGTAGTAGAGTTTGCCTAGCATACATGAGGTCCTAGGTTCTATCCCTAACACTGGAAGGTGGGAAGGTGATTTAAAAACCAAAGCAAAGCAAAACAAAACAAAAACCAAAAAAAAAAAAAAAAAAAAAAAAGCAAATGGCATTGAGACAAGAGAGAGAAGCAATATGAAGCTGATGTGGAGAATAGAAAACATGAGTGCCTAGAGTCAGCAGGAAACAGGGTCAACAGGTGGCAATGGCTTAGAGAGCATCCTATGTATAGCTGCCTGCATTTTTTCCTTCTTCTTACGATGGAGACTCATCTTAAAGCCTCATTTCTAATGGCTAGCTCTCATGGTAACAGAAGGTACAATGCAGGCTTCCAAAAAAGAGAGCAGCCAAGAGTCCCACACACAGCTATAATGCCCATAAACACAATGACCAGAGTGGCATGATAACCCTAAGGGTTCAGTATGGCAAGAATACATTGGCAGTAACCAGCAGCTCTCTAAGTGGACTTAAGATCTTCTTCAAAAGAGGGAAATCATGCCTGGTACTGGAAACTTAGCTAACTACCTAGGGCTAATGAAATCATGTCTCTTGGAGGAGAGCCTACAACCATCACTTTATTAAACCAGCATAATTCCTAACTACATTCTAAATATTTGTCCTTCTACTCACAGATAAGTGTAGTCTTCACCCCTCATCAAGGAAACTTCTCTTTGTAACAGAGACCACTACAGAAAACCACAACCAATCAAAATGCAGAGTTGTGGAGCCCTGTCCCAATGGATACATCTACAATGCAACTCCCCCACCTAAGGCTCAGGGATCATTGCTCAAAAGATTGTAAGAGCCAGAGGAACAGGGAGTTGAGTGTGAGGCTGTGTCTCCTGAAATGTCAGAAAGTCTCACCAACATGGCTACCTCAACATGAGCTGAACAGACAATGATAGACATGCTAACAAGAATGTGGGGGTGGGTGGGTGGGATAGAGCCCAGGAGGCCTCAGCCCTCCCCCCCCCCCACAAATACAGAACAGTTGGAATCCTGAGAGTGGGAGAAATAATTTCCTCCAGAGAAGAACACACCAATGGTTATTCAGCCAAATGATCAGTCCTGAAAACATAACATGCAAGTAATATTATCTAGACCAAGGAAGTTGTAGTTATGTGTAGAAATATACATTCCTAACACACACACACATCCTTTGTTGTTTTTTTTTTTTTTCGTTTGTTTGTTTGTTTTGAGACAGAGTTTCTCTGTATAGTCCTGGCTGTCCTGGAACTCACTCTGTAGACCAGGCTGGCCTTGAACTCATAGAGATCTGCCTGCCTCCTGGGTGCTGGGATTGAAGGTGTGGGCCACCATTGCCTGGGTTACACACATTTTCTGAACGTGACAAACTTTTCTGCCAACATCAGATTGATGAGGAAATGTCACAATTCCAGGTGAAACTTGAACAAAGAATTCCGTTTCCCCATTCCGTAGGCTTGTCAGAGAGTGAGGGCTCCATGCGATATCATCATTTGCTCACACCTTTAGAAGAATACACACAGTAGGCATTAGGAAGTTAGAAAGTAAACAGACACAATTTGTATCTATCCTAAATCAGACAACTCAACGAAATAGATAATTAAGTCAGTGATTTTGTGTTGTGTAGACAAAATAAGCAGTTCACTATTTTTTTCTTTCTTTTACGAGGATATTAATTTAGATTTTTCTGTGGTGCTAGAGATTGAATTGAGGGACTCTCACATACTAGACAAGCACTCTACCGCTGAGCTATATTCTCAGCCTAAATTTAGACTTAGGTAGACACTACCTTATTGGGAAAGATATTAATAGGAATACTGTAAAGAAAAGATCTCTTTCTCTTCCTCTACCTAAATCCACTTAAAAATAGTGATAAAGTAAGGAAGGATCCACATTCCGAAGAGGTAAGCCCACCCCAAATATGGCAGGCGGTGAATGACATGCTTCACACAGCCTTGGAGGAGGGTGGACCTGGCTCCCCCCAGACACTCAGCCTCTGTTGGTTGGGCTTCTTTCAGGCCTTTCAAGGCATGTTTATGTTTTATTTTGGCATTTTTGGGCCAGAGGAACAGGATCATGACTGTCCAGGAGAGGGCTGTTCCAGATTTATGGCGTACATTCCATTCCATAGGAGCATAATGTGCTACTATGTGTTCTCAAATGCAAACAGCATTAAGAATCCCACCCAGTCTCAAGCCTGTCCTGGTACCACACAAATCTAGTTTAGTACTTGCACTCAACCTCTTCTCCACAAAATAGAGACAGAGCAAATTTAGATGCTACCTCTGAATCCAAGGGGACACAAGAAAAATACGATGGTGAAAAATATAGGAAAGAAGCTGTATTTCAAAAGGAGAGAAAAAAGGAACACTGGTGCAAAGGAAGTGGGAAGAGAAAAGGAGGGGAAAGGAAGTAGTGTAGGAAACAAAGACTAAGCAGAAGCAGGTTTCCTGGGGAAAGTGAGTTTGAGGATGCCTGGGTTTGGAAATGCAGATGTCCAGTGAGAATAAAATTCTGTATGAATGCAAAGAAGGATGGGGTGAGACAGGAGACAAGGAGTCCAGAACAGTATAAACTACAGGAGGCTCTGGGATAAGACATAGAAATAAGGGAAGGAATTAGAAATAGGCCTGGGGTCTCCTTGAAATGTACTAGTTGCCTGTGTTACATTTATTTATTTATTTTTGTCTGTTTTGTTTTTGAGACAGGTTTCTCTCTGTAGCCCTAGCTGTCCTGGAACTTGCTCTATAGACCAGGCTGGCCTCAAACTCACAGAGATCTACCCGGCACTGCCTCCCAAGTGCTAGGATTAAAGGTATGAGCCACCACCACCCAGCAGCCTGTATTACATCTGTTTCCTCTTGAGAGCCAGACCTTTGAATGGAGTTGGGAGAATAAAGATAAGGAAATAAAGATGTCCGGTACTTTAGACTCCTTTTTTGGGGGGAAAAAGGCCTTTTATCCATAAGGATTTTCCTGTGCTGTTTATTTATTTATTTTAAACAAAACCCTTTCGACAGGTGGTGGTGGCACATGCCTTTAATCCCAGCACTCAGGAGGCAGAGGC